TTTTGACTTTAATATTTTCAGTTATGGTGTATTTTTCAGGGTGTAACCCCAGCATACGTTGAGGGGTAGTGCTATCAATAAAAGACATAAGAAAGTATACAGATGAAGGACTGGGGGGGTGTTGGACCTGAGTTCAAATTCCAGCACTGCAAGAAAAGAAAAGAAAAGAAAAAGAAAAAAATCAGCCAGCCAGATAAAGATGTATATACAGCAAGGTCTGCAAGGGTGACCAGTGTAGGGACTTCTGTCCCTGTAGAATTGGGGGACTTTCTCCTGGCAGGCTCCTATGTTTGCCAACCTGGAAACTCTCTGAACCCCATAGTTCAGGAATTTCCTTCAGAGGTCTCATCAGGAAGCATAAGTGATTGCTAGCTGTATTGTCTCTGTAAAGGGAGCAACGACAAAGGTGACTCCATTTCTGATGAGAAAGGCATTTTAAAACCAGAAATCTAAAGAGGCGTGGGAAACAACAACCCACTTTCCAAAATAACAAGATGCAGCTGCGTGATGGGCCCCAAGGCCAGGAAGCTGAGCAGATGCTCCTGGAGTGCTCAGTTCAGTAAGGAGAGGCACTGACGGATGACTCAACACCAACTAATCACGGATCCAGACTAGTTGGGTGGAAGCTTGTTAGTGCCCCTTGTCATCTGGACCCCAGCCTCTCTCTGACTTAACCCTTTCGCTAAGTCCCACCCATCAGGGAGCTCTGCCATCTTTTCACAAAACCGTGTGATCGCTTTACTCTTAACTTCTGGTCCCGATTCGTCAATCATGGACTTCTCCCAGACATGAACTTGGGATCAACACTCCAGTATCATCCCCTCTCTGGAGCTGGGAGTGGGACCGGGAGCTCCAAGCTTCTGAGCATGGCGTGGTGGCGGTGGTGACCCGCACCCATCCTGAAACCCAGCTCAAGAGTCTTCATACCGCCCAGGAAATTCCAGAGGTTCTAGGAGCCTTTGCTCCCCGTGGGAATTTGCACTTTTCACCAGTTGCTACTTAACACTATCGATTTATACAAAGTATCAGGTTAAACATAAAACAGGAAAGAGACTGTACTTTCAAACAAGTCACAGGGGTGAGAAGCCAAAAGAAACCTGAGAGGTGAGGGAGTGGCAAGCCTGTCCCAGCTTCGTGAAAGCCAGACAAAGGCACCCAGTGGGCAGGTGCCTGGCAGGTTTGAGGCACAGTGAGGGGGCTGGAGAGGCAGAAGATGAGGCAAGTGACCTCAAGGGCCAGGGCCACCCCAGAGTGAAATGGAGGCAGGTGACCACTTGCTGGGAGATGGAATGAAACTGAAGGGCTTTAAAAAAAGGTCTTGAGACAGTTGGGCACTGGTAGTCACGCCTGTAATCCCAGCTACTCAGGAGGCAGAGATCAGGAGGATCACGGTTCAAAGCCAGCTCCAGGCAAATAGTTCTTGAGACCCTATCTCAAAAATACCCATCACTAAAACAGGCTGGTGAAGTGGCTCAAGGTGTAGGCCCTGAGTTCAAATCCTAGTACTGCAAAAAAAAAAAAAAAGACTGGTGGAGAGGCTCAAGTGGTAGAGCGCCTGACTACCAAGTGTGAGGCCCTGAGTTCAAACCCCAGTACCACCAAAAAACAACCAAAAAAATCCCAAAACAACAGCAACAACAACAACAACAACAACAACAAAATCACACTGGGGCTGGGGTGTAGCACAGTGGTAGAGAGCTTGCCTAACATGTATGAGGTCTTAGGTTCCATCCCCAGCACTGCAGGGGGAGAAAAAAACATCATAGTGTAACTGAACCCAGTGCTTCTGCAAAGATTAACAAAGACTAAAAGCCAGGGGGGAAATTTAGTTGATGGGGATTCAGGTATTAAGGTGCCACCCACAGATGGCAGAACACTTCAAAGGCAGAATGTTACCTTAGCAAGCAGGACATCTCGGGCTGGTGGAGGGGCTCAGGCAGTAAGAGTGCCTGCCTGGCAAGTGTGAGACCCTGAGTTCAAACCCCAGTGTTGCCAAAACAGATGAAGGACATCTGGTAATCACTTCCTGTTACAGGCTGACTGTGTCCCCTCCAAATCCGAATGCTCCAGTTCTAACCTGTGGTACCTCAGGAGATCAATCCTTTAAGAGGTTAAGCAAAAGCTTGGTGTGGCAGTATACACCTGTAATCCCAGCACTCAGGAGGTAGAGGCAGGAGGATCTCAGGCTGGGCTACCTAGACAGACCCTATCCAAAAAACAAAACAAAACAAAACAAAAATATCAAAGACCAAAGAGGTAATTAAAATAAAATGAGGTCATTTGGTGGGCTCTAATCTAATGACTGATGTCCTTAGAAGACATGAGGGCACAGATACACAAATAGGGAAGACCATGTGAACACAAAAGATCAGTCAGACCCATTGGCTCACGCCTGTAATCCCAGCTACTAGGGAGGTAGACGTAGGAAGGATCAGATTTCAAGGCCAGCCTGGGCAAAAAGTTTGAGAGACCTCATCTCAACCAATAAAAGCTGAGCATGTTGGCAGGTGCCTGTCATTCCAGCTATTCAGGAAGTAAAAATAGATCACAGTCCAGGGTGCCCTGAGTATAAAGTGAGACCTTATCTCTAAAATACCCAACACAAAAAAGGGCTTGTGGAGTGACCTCAAGTGTTAGAGCACCTGCCTAGCAAGCATGAGGCCCTGAGTTCAAACTCCAGCACATTCAGAGAGAGAGAGAGCGAGAGAGCGCGCAATCTGCACAAAATCTACCCTGCAGTTGCTTTGATCTTGAACTTGTAGCTTCCAGAATTATGAGGAAATTAATTTCTGTTGTGTAGACCATGCAGCTTGTGGGATTTTGTTGTGGCAGCTTCAGCACAGTAATACACCTCTTTAACTCAATGACCAACTTGCACATTGCCTATCTCAGAGCCCCTGATGGGATGTACTGAGGACAGACTCAGTGTCACCTATGGCATATTCTTCCCTTGCCAGCGGGACCAGAATCTAGACAAAAGGGAGCAGTGGGCAAACCCAGAAAGTAGACAGACCACAAGACAACTGGCTGAGCCCTTAAAAAAAACCACCTGTGTCAGGAAGGACAGAACCAAGCAGGTGACAAGGACCATTTCATGTAAAATGGACTTATAAGAGACACAGCAACCAAATGCAGTGAGATTTTATTATTTTATTTTAGATTTTTCTTTTTGTTGTGGTGGTGCTGGGGTTTGAATTCAGGGCCTCCACCTTGAGCTGGCCCTTTTTAGTGATGGCTTTTTTCAAGATAGGATCTCGTAAACTACTTGCCTGGGCGGGCTTCAAACCTCAATCCTCCTGATCTCTGCCTCCAGAGTAGCTAGGATTTCAGGCATGAACTACTGGTGCCCGGCTAGATGTTTTGTTTTTTTTTTTTGATAGGGTCTGGCTGTGAAGCCCAGGCTGGTCAGTAATCAGGGCATCAGCAGGCCTGAAATTGCTGTGGAGCCCTAGGAAAGAATTTATTCTCGTCTTCTCTGATGTCTGGGGGTGCAGCATTCCATGGCTTGTGGCCCCATCAATCAATCTGCAAAGCCAGTGTGTCTGAAATTCTCTCAGCTCCATCGTCATGTCATCTTCTCTTTTTTCTTTCCTTATTTTTTCACATCGCCTCTTCCTGTTTGTGTCACATCTCCTTCTGCCTCCATGTTATGTGGCTGCATTTGGAGCTCACGCAGACAGTCCCAGGCAATCTCACTAATGACAGCCACAAAGACACTTTTTCCAAGTAACGTTAACATTCGTAGACTGCAGAGATGAGCACAGTGAGATTTCCCTGTTGACTGGTTTCGAAAATATTCAGTGAGTCCGACTGTGTGCCTGACTTGGGTTTAGGCAGTGGGGGTAGGTGATAAACAACACAAAAGTCCCTGCCTCCTGGAGCTGACATGCTAGGATGGTGCTGTCCTAAATTGTCACTACAAACCCCATGTATGTGTAGCTATTTTTTTTTTTTCAGTACTGGGGCTTGAACTCAGGGCCTTCACCTTGAGCCACTCCACCAGCCCTATTTTTATGACGGGTTTTTCGAGATAGAGGCTGGCTTTGAATGGAGACCCTCCTGATCTCTGTCTCCTGCGTAGCTAGGATTACAGGCATGAGCCACTGGTGACGGCCTAGGTGTAGCTATTGAGCACTTGAAAGGTGGCTAGCCCAGCTGGTTGTAGTGATGCACACCTGTAATCCCAGCACTCAGGAGGTGAGGCTGAAGGATCTCAAGTTCAAGTCCAGCAACATAGGGAGACCCTGACTCAAAAAATACTCAAAAAATACATAAATAGCCAGGCACTGGTGGCTCACGCCTGTAATCCTAGCTGCTCAGGAAGCAGAGATCAGGAGGATTGTGGTTGGAAGCCAGCCCAGGCAAATAGTTCGAGAGACCCTATCTTGAAAAAACCCACCACAAAAAAGGGCTGGTGGAGTGGCTCAAGGGGTAAGAATGCCTGTCTAGCAAACATGAGGCCCTGAGTTCAAACCACAGTACCACAAAGAAAAAAACATTAAATAAATAAAATGAGTATTAAATATATGAACAGTTTAAAAATATTGACTATATGTTGAAGTGATAATAATACTTGGGATATACTGGGTTATGTCAAATATACCTTTAAAGTTAATTTTAGTGTATCTTTTTCTTTTTTTCCCCTCCTGTGCAAGCAAGCACTCTACTGCCACTGACCTGCACCCCAGCCCTCTTTCTAGGTCATTTATTTAGTTAGTTACTTATTTGTTTGTTTAGTTTTTTGAGACAGGTAGGTAGCCCAGGCTGGCTTCAAACTCAGGATCAGTGTTGGGATTACAGGCACACACGCCACCCCCACACCTGGCTTTTTTAGTTTTGTTAAATGCTAGAAAATTTGGAATTACTTACGTGACTTGCACTGTATTTCTATTGGGAAGCCTTTTCCTAAGGAAACAAAATACTACAGGCAAATAACACGACAAAGAAGTATTTTATATTACGTGGTATGCCTTGGGAAATGACAAAGACTGGAGTAAAGAAGTGTATTTCGTTTTTTTATTGCCATTGTAACAAATCGCTCCAATCTTAAAGGTTTAACGATTCACAACTTTATTATCTTAACGGTGCTGGAGGTCAGAAGTCCAAAATGGAGTCTAACATCAAAGAACAAGTTCCCTCCCCTGGCTTCTAGACTGTCTGAACTTGACTTTGGGTCACATCACTCCTCTTTCTCTGACTCTGGTCCGCCTGTCTCCCTCTTCTTTCTTTTTCTTTTTTCTTTTTTTTGAGATGGGATTTTGCTGTGTGGCCCAGGCTGGCCTTGAACTCCAGTGCTCAAGTGATCCTCCTGCCTCAGCCTCCACTGTACCTGGGACTACAGGCTCAGCCACCCCTGCTCTTACCAGAATCCAGGCCAGCCTGCCCCTCAAGTCCTTCATGTGATCATAGCTGTAAAGTCCCTTTTACTACAGCCAGTGGCATAGCACAGATTTGGGGGATTAGGGTGCTGACATGTTTTGGGGGGCATTATCGTGCCTACCAGAGGAGAGTGAGGTGAGGAGCGTGTAGTTTTAGACAGCGGTTTCAGGGAGCACGTCACTGCGGATGGACCTGGAGGGAAGACCAGGAAGCAGGGACAGCCAGTGCAAAGGCCCTAAGGTGGCCCTTTTCCTCGGACCCCCTTCTTGCTGCCCCAAACTTCAAGCTGTCCCCTGAGCGGAGGGATTGGCCCCTGGCACAGCCCCCATTGCCCACGGCTCTTCAAAGGGCAGGTCGACCTGTGGGGACAGGTGGGAGGCTGGATCAGAAGGGCGACAGCTCCCATCCTTGCTTCTACCTGCACCCCAGGCTGGCAGTCACCTGGACTCCTGTCCTGTCCTGTTGGTGCAGCGTCCGCCTGCGGTGCCACTGGCGCAGGGAGTCGCGGGCCTCGGAGCTGAGCCCCTGGGGCGCGCGGCCCGCTTCGGGCTGGTAGTGAGCGATGTGGTACAGCGCCCCAAACCACGTGGTCAGGTAGTAGCCAGCTGGGGGTGACAAGATGGGGGGTGGGGAGAGGTCAGCGCAGGCCCTCGGCTTCCCTGTCCACTTTGCCTCCTGGGCATGCAGAAGCTGTTAGGAGCTCTCTAGGGCGCCCCCAGGTTAGGTCTTGGCCTTCTGGGGGTTCGCGCTCACCTTCTCCCCGCAGCTCATCAGGATCCAAGAGCTCCATAAGGAACTCCACGTCCAGCTGCGTCTCCCCGATGTGCGGACTCCAAATCAGCTCCTCTGTCAGCGCGGGCAGGAAGGCATCGGCCCCCAGGGGCTCTGGACAAAGTCGGAGGACAGGGGCCTGAGGTTGGGGGAGCAGATCCCCGAGACCGCGTGGACTCCTCCAACCCTCGGGCCACGCCACCTGTCCTTTACCTTGGTTCTCACCGCCTCCCAGGCCCTCGTAGACGTCACTGCACACCGCCAGCAGCAGCGCCACCTTGCGGCGAGGGGCGCACGCGGCATGCAGGTGCTCCAGGCGCGCGTGGATGCGGCTGCGCAGGCCGGGGGCGGGGCCTCGCCCTTCAGTCCCCGCCCCCCGCGCTCCCGGAGGCCCGCCCCCGCCCGCAGAGCTATTTGCCGTCGGCGCAGGCGCCGCAGCTCTTGCGCGCGGAGCGTGCGGAGTCGCGTCCACAGGGCCGGTCTCAGCGGAGCCAGCACGGCCCGGCACACTGCAGCCTCCACCGCGGGGCCTGCAGAGGGCGGGGGGCGGGTGAGGACAGGGTCGCCAAGCTGACCCAGCGCGGTCGCCCGCCACCCCACTCCGGCTTCTGGCCACCCACAAGTGTGGACACGCGTGTGGACACTCGCCTGGAACACTGTGGGTGTTCATAGTTGCGGGAAAGGGTTGTACGAGAGAAAAAGGGAGCAGGCGTGTGCCCCGATGGGGAGAAAGAAGCTACACGTGGGTGTAGGGCCAAGGGATGGCACATCTGAACAGGGGTGGGGTGGGGGGGTCCTTCCGGTTCTCCCCATTACCAAGATCCTCGTCCTTCTTGGGGACTCCAGGTTCCCTGCTCCCAAAGACAGCTCTCACATCGGGGTCCTTGACCAAGTAATCCTGGAGGTCAGTAAGGAGGTGGCGCACATCCTGAAGCAGCTCAGTGGCCCGGTCCCCAGGCCTGTGGGGTCCCCCTGAATCTGAGGTAAGGCGGGCCCGGAGGCCACGGTACTGCCTGGCCACGTAGCTGCTCCTGGTCCTAGTCAGAGCCCGGATGTGAACAGTGAGCACGTCTTCAGGGCCTTCCTCTTCATCTCTGTAGTCATCATTGTCCTCCTCTTCCTCCTTCTCCTCCACCAGACTGGTCAGAACCTGCCCAGGATGCTGCACTTCTGGGCTGAGCGGGCCTTCCACCCAGGAGACCCGGTGCGGGGCAGGCTTCCTGGGGGCTGGATGCAAGGAGAAGGTTGGGTCACTCTGAAAGGAGATAGCCACAAACTCATTCCTCATCCCCAAGGCCACACCGGCTTACCTGGGTCATGGTTCTGGGCAGGCTCTGTCTCTGTCTCTTGGGGGGTCTGCTGGGTAACCCAGTCTCCGTGAGTCTCCAGGTACAGCTGATTGACCACAGAGAGGACCCCCCTGGAGGTGTCAAGCTGGACCCGGCTAACAGGAAGAGGACCTGGGGACAACAGAAGTGAGACTCTTATTACAAGTGTCCAAGGGGCACCTGGAGACTTAGTGCCCAGACTTCCTCACTCAGGATCAGGAACAGACTCTTCACAGCTCCCTTCTCCAGCAACCCTCTCCTCTATGGGGCCCAGGAGTCCAGGTGCCTGTCTCCTCCTCCCTCTCTTTGACTCCCATCTTGGTGCTCCCTCAAACCCAGTAATCTGAACCCTTAAAGTTCAGTCCCTCTGGACCAAGGAGAACAGCAAGGTGACCCCTCTCTTGCCTCACCTGTTGGTGTGTCTCCAGGCCCTACAGTCAAACAGGGCAAGAGCAGCGTTCTGGGCAAAACATCCCTGAGAAAACATGGAACCACCATGTGGATGGGGCGACTTAGGGAAGGCCTCATTGACACCTTTAATGGGGTGACCTGTACCTGCTGGCTGATAAGAAGGCCAGGAGATGGGGCAGGTCTGGCATGCAGAGGTTGGAAGATTCCAGGGACACACCTGGGAGGAGGAGGCAAGAGGAGAGAAAGAAAACAAGGGGTGGCAGCCTCCTTCCCCTGGGACTCTCTTCTCCATCCTCCTTTTTTTTTTTTTTTTTTTTTTGTGGTACTGTGGTTTAAACTCAGGGCCTACACCTTGAGCCACTCTGCCAGCCCTTTTTTGTGATTTTTTTTTTTTTTGAGATAGGGTCTCACAAACAGTTTCAAACCATGATCTTGCTGGTCTCTGCCTCCTAAGTAGCTAGGACAGCACCCATGCCCCAGACCTTCAGAACAGGGAAGTTCCCATCTCTTAGAGTCTCTGTCTTATTACTATTTTTCTTTGGCAGTACTGAGGTTTGAACCTAGGGCATCATGCTTGCTAGGTAGGTGCTCTACCATTTGAGCCACTCTGTCAGCCCTGGAGTCTATCTTTTCCTCTATCTTAACTCTTGCGTCCCACTTATGCCACCAAAATAGGAAGCTTTAAGCAATTACTTCTGAGCACCGAATTCTTTCCAGGCACTGGGGATAATTGTTGTTAGGTCCCTGGCATTCTTGGAGTGGGCGGAAGGTCCCGAGGCTAGCACTGAAACCAGACCCCTTAATTTATGATCGCTTGTCAAACCCCTGTTTGTTTCTCTGCTTGCAAAACCTCAGGAACTTCCAGTTACTTGAGTAGCTAGGCATGTCGACCTGTTCCATCTGGTGATCGCAGATAATCGGAGACCAGAGACTCTCTCCCTCCCCCATGGCTTGTCCCCTCCTATAAAGCCCACTACCTATTTCAGCCAAGACGCTTTACTCTGAACTCAAGAGTGACAGCCCTGCAGTCTGGTTCCTAATAAATCTTTCTTTTCCACACATGGCGTGGTCTTTATTCAGCAGTTCCTTACATTGTCAAGGGAGACAATTCACTACCTCTGTAGCCTACCTTTTAGTTGGAGAAACAATAGATCAGTAAACAAACAGAAGTGTATATTGGCTTGAGGATTGTGAATGAGTGGTGTGATTAAAAGTGACTAGGGGCTATCTTATCTGTGACTTATCAAGGAAGGTCCCTCCCTCTCCTCTCCTTCTCCCCTCCTTTCCTTCCTTCCTTCCTCTTTTTTTCCCACTCTTCCTTCCTCCCTCCCCCTTTTTCCTTTCTTTCTCTTTCTGATAGGGTCTTGCTGTGTAACCCGAGCTGGCCTCAAACTTGAGATCCTCCTTCCTCAGATCCCTAGGACCAGGATTAGAGTCATGCACCACCATGCCTGGCTAGAAGGTTGCACTTCTATAGGATCTTGAGGGAGGAAGACTAAACCAATCACTCAAGAAGAGCATTCAAGGCCTGGCAGAGTGGCTCAAAGTAGTAGAGCACCTACAAGCGTGAGGCCCTGAGTTCAAACCCCAAAGCCAGCAAAAGAATTCATGTGGAGAGAACAAAAGCAAAGCCTCCAGCTGGAACACACTTAGCGTGCTTAAGGAAGAGAAGAGAACAGTGTGGCTGGAACAGAGTGAATGTGGCTAGTAATGAAAAGCCAGGCAGGGTCTGTGTCACCCAGCAGCTTAGGCCATGGTGAGGAGCCTATACCTCTGTAGGGTTCGGGGCAGAGATGTACAACATGTGAGTGTGAAAATACCTCTGCATTGCTGTGCCCAGCATGGATGGCAGGAGGAAAGAGTAGTTGTAGGGAGACCAGACAGTTGTCTACTGCAATGGTCTAAGGGCACAGTGGTGGAGGCAGACAGGATTGGGCAGATTCAGGAGATATTTTGGGATTAAGGCTGACAGTTTTTGGTGATAAGTTTGCTGTACACTGGAAACGTAGGTTATGTGCCTCACCTCCAGGAAACTTGTGGATCTGGTAGGTGTTGACTTCTCTCCGTGAAGGTCCTGTCCTCAATACCAGGACCTGGCTGGGGTCATGTCCTATGACCAGGAAACTCTGGGGATGGAGGCAAAGGTCAGCCTGACAAAAGTTTGTGCTGATGTTGGTTGTTTTTGCCTTCCTGGCCCCCATTTCTCTTTAGGGAAACCCCCTCCCTGCTCTCAGTGCAGTGGGTGGGGCTGATACATCTCAGCCCTAGGGGGTGGGCCCAGGACCTGGCCTAGTCAATAGGATGACTGGAAGGGTACTTGACCAAGCTCAGCCAGTGGACATCTTCCATGGGACTTTTGCTGGAGCCTCTCTCTCAATCCATCTCTTTATCTCTCTCTGTAGATTAAACCCACCTGGTGTTGCAAGAACACTGAGCCCCAGACGTAAAGGTCTCTTTCTCTCTCTCTTGAGTGGAACTGGGATTTGAACTCAAGGCTTCACACTTGCAAAGCAGGCTCTTTACCACTTGAGCCACAACTCCAGTCTGTTTTTTCTCTGGTTATTTTGGAGATGGGGGTTTGGCAAACTATTTGTCTGGGCTGGGCCTTGAACCAGAATCCTGATATCAACATCCCAAGTAGCTGTGATTATAGGTGTAAGACACCTATAATCCCAAGGGGTCTCTCTCTCTAGTTCTCTCTCCCTCTCTCTCTTTCCCCAAAGGTCTCTTTACACTCAGGTTTCTAAGGTGGGATACAACCTTGAGCTATGGATGGCCATCTTTCCCATCACAAGGGTGATGTCCTGATGAGGAGGCTGCTGTGATCTACCGAGGCCCCTTAGCTGTCCCCTCTAACCTCCCCTATAATCCTTGGGGAAGACCTTGCCCAAGGCATTAATAAGTGATTACAAGGTGGATGACTCAGAGCTTGTCATGTCTTCTGCTTCTGGCTGGCGTCTGCTTCCTGCCTGAAGTGCACTGGCAGGCCCCAGGCAAGGCAAGGGAAGTTCCAGAGAACTTCAGAACAGCTGGCCCTCAGGTCACAAAGCTGCTCAGCTCCAGCTGCCAGCTGCCTTTCTGGTTATGTTCTGAAGCCACTACAGAACAGGCATTGGTTGTCACCCCAAACATCGTGAAAACCAATGCCAAGAAATGGAACAAAGAGGAATTGATCCAATGTCTACAGTTCACGACCCTGAACTTTTACTTCTGGGGTTTTTTGTCACTCTAGTTAATCTGTGAGCTCCTGGGTTTGCCATTTGTGTTTGTCATCTGGTGTCATGGAAGGGTCAGACCGGGTCCCCAGCTCTGAGTACTCACCCCCAGTGGCCACAGCTCCACAAGCGCCTGTGCCTCCTGAGCAGCCATCTCAGGGACTTGCCACACCCCCCATGTCCTCTGCAGGCGCAGAAGTGGCTCTGGGATGCCAAGGACCCTTAGAGGAGACTCTCCTCCATTTGCCTGTAGTGGGACCATCCTGGGTTGTCGAGGGTCCAGGTGGTTAGGGGTCAGAGCAGGCAGTTGGCCACTGAGGTGGTGACAGAAGCAGGAAGGAATAGCCCAGGGAAAAAAGGTCAGAGATGGGGTTTGAGGTTGGGGGGTCAACTACACATTGGATGGCAATCCTTCCAGAAGTGGGAGAGGAGACTGCCCAGAGGCCCTCACCTCTCCCCCTCAGGGGGGGCTGCAGAGGCCATGTCCTCTCGCTGGGCCATCTGGCGGGGCCATCCTCAGGGTTCCAGAAGTCAGTGAGCCATGTTCTGGGCTCTGGTGGGGAGGAAGATAAGAAGCAAGGCTGCTCCAGCCCAGGGGTAATATTCAAAATATTTAAAGCCAATATGCAGAGACACAGGGGCCCCGGCTATGCTAGGGAGTGATTTTTAGTAGCCAGATGGGGAAAATCTGGAGATCCCAGGTGAAAGGCAGGTGTCTTGGGTTGGGGGGGACTCACGTACTGCTATTTACCAGGAGGGTGGGAACAGTCTAAGAGTCTCATGATTATTTTTGCAGCCATACAAAAGTGGATCACCTGCATCGCAACCCTTGCCAAAACCCAGGGCTTGGCTTGGGAATGTTCTCAGCCCAACACTTTTCAGATGTTGTGCAAGGCGCCTTCTTCCTCCCTTTCCCAGACTCTTGTGTGTGTGGGACGGGGGCTAGAATATTTTCCTCCCAATTTTTTTTTTGTTGGTATTGGGGTTTGAACTCAGGGCCTCAATACTTGCCAGGCAGGTGCTCTACCCCTTGAGCCACACTCCCAATCCTTCCCCAGTATTTTTTATTAAAAATTTTCAAACATATAGAAAACCTAAAACATGCCTTCTACCTGGATTCTATCAGGCATTTTCCTCTTATTTGCTTAATTACACATCCATCTCTCTCCCTCTATCCACTCATCACACCCCAAGTCTTAGACAGGCACAGAATTCTACCACTTGCAGTGAGCACTTTTGAATGCTTCCCTGAAGACATCTCAGGAGTAGAAAACATGAGTGTGGGAAGGGACAACCCACCCTATCCATCTCCTTCCTTCCTTTCTTTCATCACCCATCCATCCATCTATCCATCCATCTATCCATCCACCTGACCACCCACCCATCCACCCATTCATTCACCCATCCATCTATTCATCTACCCATCCATCTATCTATCCATCCACCCACCTATCCATCTATCCAACCATCCACCTATTCATTAACCTATCCATCCATCCACTTACCTATCCATCCATCCATGCATCCATCCAGCCACCTATCCATCTATCCACCTATCCATCCATCCATCCATCCATTCATCTACCTATCCATCCATCCATCCATCCAGCCACTCACCTATCTATCCACCTATTCATCCATCCATTCACCCATTCACCCACCCATCCATTCACCCATCCATTCTTCTATCTATCCATCCAAACATCCACCCATCCAACCATCCACCCATCCATTCATCTACCTATCCATCCATCCATGCATCCACCCATCCATCCACCCATCCATCCATGCACCCACTTATCCACCCCCCCATTCATCCATCCATTCATCCACCTATTCATTAACCTATCCACCCATCCATCCATTCACCCACCCATCCATCTATCCTTCTATCCAATATTATTGAACATAGGCCCAGACTTAGGTGACAGTGACCTGGGTGGAAGCTGGCAAATAGGACGGGCCCCTGCTCTGAGGGTTTCCAGTCCTGTTGGGAGGGAGGGGGTGTGAAAGTTCTATAATAAACGACTAAACAAATCAGCCCATTTATGGGCAGCCCAGGGTGTCTGGAGGGAGGAGGGACGAGGCCAGGTGCATCATCCAGGGGAGAGCAGGAAGGGGGCGGGAGAGGCAGGCAGATGCCCACCAGGGCCCTTGGTGCTGGGCAGGGCTGAATGGGGCAGTTGCCTGGTACCAGAGGGAGGTAGCTGGGGGTGAGGATACTAGATGCTGGGTCTCTGGGGCCTACCTGTTCCGGAGGGGAGCCAGAGAAGCAGGAAGTGAAAGTGTTCTCTAAAGAGGAAGCTGAGCAGGCAGGGGAAGAGGCGGGGCCGGGGGGTATTTGACATCCACCTTTCTCCCTCTTTCCTCTTTCCGGGGGCTTAGGCCCTAAGCGCCTGGGCTTTGAAGGAAGAGATACTGGCAACTGGGAGGTAAGGGCTGGAGCCATGAGGCCTCACCAGCCCCTAGGGGCCCCTACCTGCGCCCACAAGGTTTCCTGCAAGAGCCTAAAGGTGGACCAGGTCCTCACCCCCTCCCTTCAGCTGTCTCTGGTGCCCACAGAAAGAAACAGAGGCCAGATGTCCAAGTGTCGCTTGGTTTTGTCTTTGTTTTTAATTTATCTATGATAAGCAACATTTTCTACCCATCCCCCCAATGGAAAGCAGGTCCCAAGGGAAAGGGCCAAGCACCTATTTTGGGAGCTAGAGGCAGACTTGGGGGGCCCTTCCTCCCCCATCAGGTAGGTTAAAATTGGACTACATGGTCACTAGTCCCTGTGAACAGTAAAGTGGAGGGGAGGGGGGTCCTCAACCCAACTGTCCTGGGACAGTTAGAAGTTTGGACCCCCCTGGGAGCAGTTAGAGATTAGGGGATGTTGCTCCTTACTGCTGGGGCAGTTAGCGATGGTGGGCTGTTAGGGACAGGCCTCAAGTTTGGGCCCTAGAGAGTGTTAAGAATAAAGAGGGGCACTGGGGACTCCAGTTTTGGGAGGAAGAGGTTAAGAGACTAAGGGATGCACTGAGCCCCACAGACAAGAGCTGTGAGTTAGAGGACTCCGAGTCTGTGGGGCTCCACTGTTCCAGAAGAGTGGGTGTCCTACTTGGGAGCTGGGCCATCACTGGGGCCTCTCTCCCTCTGTGCTCCTGGATTCCTTGGCAGGAGGTGGAGACTTCCCAGGGGAAGCATCAGTGGTGGGGTTGGGGGTCCCCGACCCTTTCTGGGCATCTATTCTGGCATGCTCCTTCCGGACCAGATCCTCTAGCTCTTTCTGGGGGTGCAAAGTTCACAGAAGTCAGAGATCACCACACATCACATGGGGACCGGAGGAATGGGGGTGGGGTCCAGGCACTGGGCTCAGGGTGGGCTGGGGTTACCGTCTCCTCACCTTCCATCCAAGGAGGTCAGCAAGAGCCAGACAGCCCTGGTCACAGTCCCCCAGCCAGGACACATCCCTGTGGTGCAGGCAGGAAGTCAGAGCTCTGGCTGAGGCCCCTGCTGGCTCTTCCCCATGGGTGACAGGACTTGTGTCCTGTCTGTGGGCATTGGGCCTCCTCCCACCTCACCCTGGCCAGGCCGGGACCTCACCTGTAGGCTTTCTTGGAGTCAAAGTCCATCGCACCTCCAAGGCCTATCATCATTCCCAGGAAGGGGTCCATCTGTGGGGAGGACAGCTAAGAGCCCAGGCCCGGGGCCAGGCAGCCTGGGCGCCCACCCCAGCTCTGTGACTTTGCTCAAGGGACTGGCCCTCTCATGGCCTCAATTTTCTCCTCTGTACAACGGGGACACTTGCAGAACCCCGGGGACAGGGTTGTCATGTCACATTCAGTAGGCCTCTGTGATCTCCCTGTCTATCTGCACATGTGGCCTCAACCTCTGTACCAAACATAAGTCCTTTCTTTTTCCTTGTCATGATTCCCTAAGGAACACAGCCTAACAATCTCTAGCTGGGCACTGGTGGCTCACTCCTGTAATCCTAGCTACTCAGGAAGATCGTGCTAGGAAGCCAGCTCAGGCAAATAATTCACAAGACCCTATCTCAAAGAAAAAAAAAAAATCCACCACAAAAAAAAAGGGTTAGTGCTTCAAAATATAGGTCCTGTGTTCAAACTCCAGTGCCACACACACACACACACACACACACACACACACACACACACACACACATATCTGTAGCATTTACGCTGTATTAGGTGTGTTGAAAAGTTGGCTGAAGACAATTTGAAACATAGGGAATGATGTAAAAGGTTCTGTGCATTTTATTTTTTAAATTTTTATCTTTTTGGCAGGACTGGGGTTTGATCTCAGTTCCTCATGCTTCCTGGACAGGTGCTCTACTACTTGAGCTGTGCCCCTCTTGCCCTTTCTGCTTTAGGTGATTTTTCAGGTAGGGGCTCACATTTTTGCCCAGGGTGACCTGGGACGGTACTATGCTAAACTACAGGTGTGCACCAACACTCCTGGCTTGTTGGTTGAGACTTTTTTTCCAGAGCTGCCTATCCCCTCAATCTGAGCCTCCCAAGTAGTTAGGATGTAAGCCATGATGCCAAGCCTCTTCACTGCTTTATCACAGGGGCTTCAGCATCCTGGGATTTTGGTGTCTGGAACCAGGCCCCCTGGGTCTGAGGGACAACAGCCAGTGCTTGGACAGTGCCTCACCCAGAGAACGCCTGCGTCTACCTGGTATCTGTGCATACATGGCTCTGTCAGGGGGACACCCTTCCCTTGAGTGCATCCTTCCCAGAAGGGAGCACCTGCCTGGGAGTGGGTCACCTGGGAGACAGTAGAGAGAGGAGAGAGCAGCCACCACCACAGGTCCAGCATGCAGTGCCCCTCAGTGGCCTGGCCCTGACCCTTGGCTTCCAGGGACCACTACATTTCATCTTTGGCTTCTGCAGGTTGGCAGTGAGATTCTGTCACTTATGAAATGATCCAGAAGGACCCAGAGGCCTGCAGAGTCACACTGGCCTACAACCTCATCCCTATGGTCTCAGATCCCAGGGCCTGAGCTGCGACCAAACACTGGCAGTTGCCAGCTGGGACTGTCTGACACCTGGTGTCAGTAACACTGGTGGGAGGGCAGGGGACCTGAGTGAGCAGAGGGAGGGAAGAGCTGTGACTTGTGCCGACTCACCTGGCCTGTCTTCTCCTTATTGATGAGCAGGCGTGGGGTGGAGAGTGACACCCTGGAGATGGCAAGCTGGGGGTCAGGATCCGTCCTGGCTCCTGGGTCCCCAGCCACTCCTGCCCCCTCTCCCCCACCTACTTGCTGATGAGGGAGGCGAAGGGCTGCACCTGCAGGGAGGTGCCCATGATGATGAGGAGGTCAGCCTTCAGGAAGTCCTGTGGGCGAGCGGCCAGTGAGGGCCCAGGAACCCCCAGCCACAGCCACAGTGAGTCATGCCAGGAATGCCGCCCCCTGCCCCAGGCTGGGCACAGGCAGCTACTTACCGACTGCATACAAGAGAAGAAGCGTGCTGGGAGGTTCTCGCCAAAAAAGATTATATCTGAGGTGGAGACAGACAGATGGACACAGAGACAGAAGGAGACCGTGACCCGGGAGGCAGACACAGAACAGGCAGGCATAGGGGCAGACTTGATGGACATGGCGCTTGTTGGGCACAGTCAGGACCAGCAGAGGGATAGAACACCACTGTCCCCAGGATGAGCAAGGCACTGGCCAGAAGTGACCAGAGGTGGAGCGGGCAGGAACATGGCCTTTGGGAGGGACCAGTGGGGTCCCAGCCCCAGTCTCTGGGGACTCACCAGGCTTCACCACGCTCTGACATTTCTCACACTTGGGAATCGTCCCCGAAAAGATCTTCTCTGGAGAGGGAAGGCGAGAGAGGCATGAGGGGCCTGAGGCTGGGTTGCAGCCCCCACCCTTCCCCTACCATTGGGGGATTTCTAGGTGTCCACCCTACTCAGAGAAGACCTCCCTTTTCAGCTGCCCCCCTCTAGGTACCCCCAGGAATCCCAGGGTGGCTCCCAGCACTGCTGTCCACAGCTAGCAGGTAAACAGGACACAGGAGAAAAGCAGACACTGCTTCTCTCCCACAGGGCGCATGGGTGCATTACGAGCAGTGAGGCATGCTGCTCCTAAACCAGAACGCTTCAAGATACAGAGACCCTGTCTGAGGCACAGACTTATTTCCTAGAATGGAACACTGTGCAGCACTCTGAACCTTGTACCGAAGCTGCTTTTAGAAAGACAGTTACATGCTTCCTTCCCACACAGCGCTTGGGTACATTACGAGCAATAATGATTTCTCCCAAACTGGAACGATCCAAGTCACAAAGAACTTCTAGGAGGCAAAGAGTTGTTTCCCAGAGTGGAAATAACTGAGGGTTCTTACAGCAAGTCTTCAGGGGCAGCCCTATCTCCTACTGGGTCAGGGAAGGACACGCAGATGATCGTGAGATGGGGACAAAAGCCTAGGCCCAGCTGCTTCCCACCCTTGAGTTCTGTGACAGACTCCCCCTTACACCATCCTCACGTCAATTGCCCTCCTCATTGTGTATGGAAAGCACTTCTGTCACTTGCAACCCAGAGAACTGGAACTCACTTATTCAACCGTTCACTCATTCATTCCACAGACAGAGTGCAGTGTTGATGGCTGTCACTTTGTGGGTGGGGTGTGGTAACTGCTGTGAGACATAAAGGGGGTGGTGTTTGTTGTACGTGCAGCCAGCTGCATGCACTTGGGCTGTTCAGGAATCCTCAGCTTGGGGCAGCCGGCTGGCACTTCGTCAGAGAGGCCACCCTCCAGAGGCCCTACTGCAAATGCCACAGCTGTCCTGATCTCAAGCGGACAGCAGAGGCTTGTTAGGTCAGCATAAAGAATGTCACAAAGGTGGAGAAATGGTAGCTTCACAGCACAGTGGCTGTCAGACAAGGCTCTCACTGACATTTAAGAATGTTTGTCCTGGACACTCTGTCCTTCCATGAACAGGGCTGGTGACTCTGGTGAGTCCTGTCTGTGTTCCTAGTGCCAGCCACAGGCGCCCCACAGCCCTAACCAGGCCTGCGTCCAGCTTCCCACTCCACAGACTCCGTGGGACGTGGTCCCCACTCATGGAGACCCCATTGCTAGTTCTAGGAGTGGCCCGGGCATGGGGTGCGACCTCCTGGTGACCTCCAGCCCCTCACCTTTCATCCAGTTCAGCGTGTACTCGCGCCGGCACAGCGGGCTGATGCAGTGTGACGTGTGGAAGGTGCCATGGGCCTCTACCAGGTCTTCAGGCTCCAGCCCTGCCACCCGCTCCAGGGTGTCTATGTTCTGCAGGGTGAGAGGGCAGAGGTCACAGCCGAGCAGGAGCAGAGGCCATGAGACTCAAGCGCACAAGGCAGAGGGAGGGACATGGGAGACATGGGAGAAGCAGGTGGCAGGGGACATCTGAACACTGTACGGTTCCTGGCCCAGTGGCTGCTGAAGGGTTGACAAGCAGGGTGCCCAGGCTCATGTGTCTATAGACCCACCACTGCCACCAGCCAGTGTGGCAATTTTCTGCAAACTCAGGCCATTTTGCTTCTGTTTTTCAGAAAAGTTGTTTTGTGAGAGAGCCAGACACTTTTCTGCCACTCGCCAGAAACTTATTGAAATAAATGTTCAAATCTATAATGTCTGTTGTAAATCTCTATTGCCCCTCAGATGTGGTATTTTTTTCTTTCTTTCTTCCTTTATTTTTTTTTTTTTTTGAGACAGTCTAACTATGTAGCCCAGGTTGGCCTCAAACGATCCTCCTGGATCAGCCTCCTCAGTGCTGGGATTACAGATGTGTGTTACCACGCCTGGCTTATTTGTGTTTTTTTTGTTTTTGGTTTTGATTTTTGGCAGTACTGGGAATTGAACCCAGGGCTTTATGCATTTTAGACAAGGGCTCTATCACTTGACGCATATCCCAGTCCTTTTGTTATTATTTTCATCTTACTTTATTATTCTTATTATATATATAAATATTTACTATTTACAAATATATATATGTATATAATTAGCAGTACTGAGGTTTTTTTTGAGGGGGGGGCAGTACACATGCTAGGCAGGCACTCTAACACTTGAGCTACTCCACCAGCCCTTTTTTGTGAAGGGTTTTTCGAGATAGGGTCTCTCTATTTACTCTGGCTGGCTTTGAACCTCAATCCTCCTGATCTCTGCCTTCTCAGTACCTAGGATTATAGGTGTGAGCCACTGGTGCCTGGCTGGTACTGGAGTTTTGATCTGAGGGCCTCTTGCTTACAGGGCAGGTGCTCTACCACTTAAACCACACTGCTTTAGTTAGTTTTCAGGTAGGGGCTCACGTTTTGCCAGGGGCTGATCTTGTACCTCCCTCACAGCTGAGATGACAGGAGTGTACCACAATGCCCAGCTTATTGACTGAGATGGGATCTTGCTAACTTTTTGCCCCACTGGTGTGGAACCTCAATCCTCCTAACTCCTGAGTGGCTGTGATTACAGGCGTGAGCCACCCACTCTGTATGTTCACGTTTCTTAACCTCTCCCCCCTCCATGGAGCAGCTCTGCTTTCCCATGGCTACCACTGCTGCTGCTGCTACAGGCACTGAGAGACACTGGGAGACACTGTCTGGAGATGGTTCACGTGTGACCCATGGCTGAACTTACAGGGCTCCCAGAGATGCCACACACCATGGAAAGGGTTTCCTCTCAAGGGAGACGGCCCGACTGCCCTCTCTGCTCTGCAATCTGCCACCAATAAGCTTGTCCCCAAAACACACAAAATATAAGTCTGTAAGACCTTTTTTTTTTAATTCTTTTTTTTTTCCCTGAGTCAGAGTCTTGCTCTATAGCCCAGACTGACCTTGAACTCACAATCTTCCTGAGTATGGGAATTATGGGCGTGCCAAGCTCATCCCGCTCTCATAAATCCCGATTCTGCCTTTGGTATTGACTCAGTCTGCTAACCAGCTCCCTCATTCCTGAGCAAGCACAGATAACGAAATAATGTGTCACAGAACTACAGCAGGCCCCTTACTCCTGGGGGATATGTTCCAGGACCCCAGACTCCTGAAATCTTGGAATGTCAAATCCTATCAACTTCTATATATACACATGCCTTTTTCTTCCTTTGGTGGTACTGAAATTTGAACTCAGGACCTCATGCTTGCTGAGCAGGCACTGTACAACTGAGCTGCACCCCAAGTCTTTTAGTTTTTCAGATAAATTCTCATGCTTTTTGCCCAGGCTAGCCTGGGACCATGATCCTCCTACCTACATTTCCTACATTGCTGGGATTATAGGCATGAGCCACCATGCCTGGCCTTCCAGATGAACCCATGGTAAGTTGAAAATAACTTAAGTTGAAAATGCCTTGCTCCACCTGCCCACAGAGCATGGTGGCTCAGCCACACAGGGCCCTGCACAGCCTTTGTTTTTCCTCTCACCACCACTGCCCAGCATTGACAGAAAGAGAATTCTATAGCACACTGACAGTCCCAAGAAGGATAAAAGCTCAAAACTCAAAGTATGCTTTGGACTGAAAGCTTATCACTTTCATACCATTGTGAAGTTGCAAAGTCAAAAGTGCAAAGCATTGTAGGACATGGACAACCTGTCTTGTATTTTTCTGTATGTCTTGCAGCACTGCCACAGGGCACCAGAGCTCATTTGTTCTCCCATGTTTTATGCCCACTACTCTTGCATTTGGGGGGCCATTATTAAGTAAAATAAGGGTTACATGGACGCAAGCACTGTGACACTGGGACAGTCAGTCTGATAACCAAGACACATACTAAGTGACTAACGGGTGGGTAGCATATACAGCATGGATACGCTGGACAGAGGGACGGTGGACACTGTAGGCAGGATGGAGCAGTATGGCTGGAGGTCTCATTGCACTGCTCAGAACAGCCAGCAAGTTAAAATGTATGACTTGTTTATTTCTGGAAATTTCCACTTAGTATTTTGACTGCTGCTGATGGCAGACAACCATCAACTTAGAAAGTGAAGCTACAAATGGGGGGCGGGGCTCCACCTAAATACCCCATATTCTTTGACAGGGCTCCTCATAGAGACACCACAAACCAACAGGAAAAGAGTGAGCAGGAAAAGAGTGCCTTTCTGTATGTCTAAAATGAAACCTTTTAACACTGCGAGGTGTTAAAAGGTACAGAAGAAGAAAGGCAGTGTGTACAGGGTGAGCAAAAACATCGAGTCATGCACTGCTTAATGACAGATATGCTCTCAGAAATGCATCATTAACAAGTGTATTTGCACAGACCAGGACAGCCAGGATGTCACTAAGTGACGCTGGGGACTCCACTCAGGGCCTTTACCACTTGAGCCATGACCCCAAGATTTTACTTTCAGTTGTTTTTCAGGTAGGGTCTCATGCTTTGGCTTGGGCTAGCCTCAGATGGAGATCCTCCTACCTCTGCCTCCTGAGTATCTGGGATTACAGACATGAACCATCACTCCCTGGCTTCTTTCTTGAGATAAGGTCTCACTCACTTTTTGCCTAGGTTAGCCTTGAACTATCATCCCTTTTCCTCTGCCTCTTGAGCATGTGCCACTACGCTGGCCTGGTTTTTATTTTTGGTACTAGGAACTGAATCCAGGGTAAGCACATGATGTACAACAGAGGTTTGGTTTTTTGGTTTTTTTTTTTTTTTTTTTTTTTGGTGGTATTGGTGTTTGAGCCCAGTGCTTACACTGGTGAGGCAGACACTCTTACACTTACCTAGTCCCCTCTCTATTTTTGAGATGGGGTCTGGCTATGTTGTCCAGGTTGGGCTCAAGGGAACATCCTAACTCAGCCTCCCCATCTCCAGTAGCTGAGACTACAGGTGTGCACCGCTGCACCCAGGCAGGTGACATATTCTTATGGGACCACTGTTGTCTATGTGGTCCGTGGTTGGCCAAAATGTGTTGTGCAGTGCATGACTGCACGAATCTGTGTGCCCATGTGATTAACGGAGTCTGGAACAGTGCCAAAGGAGACACAAAATCAGGTCTGCCTGTCATCCCAGCATTGGGGAGTCTGAGGCAGGAGAAATGCAAGTTCAAGGCCAGCCTGGGCTACTTAGAGAGAGCCTACCTCAAAGCAAGCAAACAAACACTTGCTATTTTGTGAAGCTAAGGCGCCTGACTTAAGTCTACTCTGATGAACGAGGTGAACAGAATAAGAATAGGAGTGATGAAGACAAGCTACCTGGAAAGCATTTGCCAACAAGGGCCTCATTCCATCAATTAAAAAAATAAAAATAAAAAAAGCCAGGTGCTGGTGGCTCACGCCTGTCATCCTAGCTACTCAGGAGGCAGAGATCAGGAGGATCGTGGTTTGAAGCCAGCCCGGGCAATTAGTTCACAAGACCCTATCTCAAAAACACCCATCCAAAAAAAACCCAACAACAACAACAACAAAAAACCCCACTTCCAACTGAACACTAAAACAGCAAATTCAACAGTGTCTGGAGTTAGAGAACAGAATCTGGAGTTTCTACATCTTTTTCTACGGCAGTATTAAGGATGCAAGCCAAACTTACTCGGAGCCAAAGAAACAGGAAACAGAGCCAGTTTCCAGAGGAAGAAAAACAGACAGAGGCGGATTGCTGGGTGACCCAGTTGTAGGAATCAGGACCTAAGGACCTTAGAGCAGCCATCAGAACCACGCTTGATGGCACAAAGACAGGATGTTCATGACAAAAAGTCACGGATGGAACTTCAGCAGAGGGACAGAAACTATAAAAATAGAGGCAAATACTCTGGGCGTGGTGGCACACACCTGTGATCCCAGTATTTGGGAGGCCGAGCCAGGAGGATCTCAAGTTGGAGGCCAACCTGGGCTGAATAGCAAGACTTTGTCTCCAAAATAAAAAAGCTGGGCGCTGGTGGTTCTGCCTGTAATCCTAGCTATGAGGAGGCAGAGATCAGGACTGCAGTTCAAAGCCAGCCCTGGCAAATAGTTTGCGAGACCCTGTTTCAAAAAAGCTCATCACAAAAATGGGCTGGTGGAGTGGCTCAAGGTGAAGGCTCTGAGTTCAAGCCCCAGTACCACACACACACACAAAAGGCCACAGTAGTGGCCTCTGGGGAGGGTAACAGGGCAGTGGAGGTCCATGACAGGACATAGCTCTTCAGTAAAGGCAAAGTGACAATGAAGACACCTAACCCTAACTCTCGGCCTCAGAGACCCGTAAGAAATGGTATGGTGGGAGGCGGTACCCGGGCCACTCTACGGTGGCAGCAGCCACTCCAGCCCATAGCTGTCACCATTGCCCATGGTCCAGCCAGCTCTTCTGGATTTTTAGGAGGAGCTAGAAGTCACTTTTTGTCACACAGCACTGTGTCACCAATGGAAACATCACCAATAGCAGGGTGGCCCTGGGCCCACGCACCACACTGATACAAACAGAAAAAGGCACCAACTCCTCTGGGTGAGTGTGGTGGCCCCTGTCGAGGGGCACAGCGCAGCCACGAGCCAGGGTGAGGACTCTGTTCCAGCCCCCAGCTGGCACCCTTGATGGGCACAGTCAGCCTTACATAGGGCGCACAGTACACAGCCTACCTGTGCAACCCCAGGAGTGTGCCTACGTGTTTTAATAATAAGAATTGTCTCCCTCAACAACACTCTCAGCCTTTTTCTACTGAACTGTTTACACTGAGGAGAGTAAAGTTGTGGGGGGGCGGGGGTCTCTCCCTAACGGTAACTTTTTTTTTTTTTTTTGGCAGCACTGGGGTTTGAATTCAGGGCCTTCACCTTGAGCCACTCCACCAGCCCTTTTTTGTGTTGGGTTTTTTTTTTTTTGAAATATGTTCTCTCAAACTGTTTGCCCAGGCTGTCTTTGAACTGTGATCTTCCTGATCTCTGCCTCCTGAGTAACTAGGATTACAGGTGTGAGCCACCAACACCTGACATTTGTATTTAAATCTTAAAAGAAAGGCAAAATGCTTACAAAAGAATAAAACTTGGAAGCCAGAGGTGGTGGTGCACACCTGTAATCCCAGCTACTCAGGAGGTGGAGGTAGGAAGATCTCAGTTGGAGGCCAGCCCGGGCAAAGTTAGTGTGAGACCTAATCTGACAAACAAGCTAAAAGCAAAAGGACTACGGGTGTGGCTTAGTGGTAGAGCACATGTCTGGCATGCATGTGGCCCTGGTGCCATCCCCAGCGCCACCAAAAAAGGAAAAAATGAAAAAAGAAAGAGTAAGATTCAGCTTTTAAAAAGCATGAAGTGACTCTGTAGGTGTGGATGTGGAAGTGACTTCTAGGTAAGAGTCTGAGTTAAAAAGTCAAGTTTAGCACGACTGTACAGTATGAGCACCAGATAAAGAGTTGAAAGATCTAGAAGCTGGTCTGCTGTGAGATCTCGGCAGCTTGAGTGACCGCAACAACTGTCCTGACATGGGAATGGGGTCTCCTGCCCTGAGCTAAAAACAGCATCACAGGGAGTTTCAAAAATACTGCCTTGTCACCATTCAGAAGGAGTGAAGACCGTGCATTCCACAAACTGGGCGAGTGGCCGAGGTGGAAGAGGACGGAGAAATGTGTGACTGAAAGTCACATTTCGTGGGCCATGACAGTGGAACTGCTTCTTTCACCTTTGTGGATTTTATGTAATAAGCACTGAAAATCTATGTGGAGTTTCAGGTAGGAGGCAGAACCAGTGGTGTGCACCTGTAGTCAGAGCTACTCAGGAGGCTGAGGCGGGAGGGTTGTTTGAGCTCAGGAGTTCCAGGCCAGCCTAGGCAACACAGTAAAAGTCTCAAAAAATAAATAGAGCTAGGCACAGTGGCTCACCCTGTAATCCCAGCAACTTGGGAGGTAGAGATCAGGAGAATCATAGTTTGAGGCTAGCTCAAGCAAAAAGTTACTAATACCCCATCTCAACAAATTGGTTGAATGTAGACTTTCATATCTGTAATCCCAGCTACACAGGAGGATCACAGACTGAGGCTGGCCTGGGACAAAACTCTAGACCCTATCTAAAAAATAACTAAAGCACAGGACTGGGGCTGTGGCTCAAGTGGTAGAGCACCTGCCTACCAATTATAAGGCCCTGAGTTCAAACCCCAGTAACACCAAAATCATTACAATAAGTAAATACATTTTTAAAAAAGGGCCAGGTGTGATGGTGTACACCTGTAATCCCAGCATTAGGGAGAATGAAGGCAGGAGGGTCGTGAGTTCTAAGCCAGCCTGAGGTACATAGCGAGATCCTGTCTCAAAGAAGTGAGAGAGACAGAGAAAGGGGGGGTGGGGGGAGAGGAGGGAAGAGGGAGAGGGAGAGAGAGAGAGAGAGAGAGAGGGGAAGATTTACATTTAAATAGCTGGGCAAGGTGACCCACCAATAAAACATTTTAAGAAGTTTTTTAATTGCAGGGATTGCCGAGCAGCAGAGGGTTGCCTGGTGCGCACGAGGCATGATCTGATTCCTAGCACAATGACAACAGAAAAAGGTAGAAAAAGAAAAAAGAAAAGGAAAAGAAAAAAAGGAAAGACTGCGGGCCACCGCAGTCCCCCACGTCCCCTATGGCCTGTCCTACAGGGAGTGCTTCCCCAATCTTCCTCCTGGAGCGGCCTTTCATTGTGTCCCCTCTCCGTGGGCTTCTCCCTCCCCCCGCCCCCACAGCCTCCTGTTCACCTTCCCTGTCCCCACTTGGCATAAGTCTGTCCTTGTCCCCTCCCGCCCTGAGTCTCAGCTCCAGGGCAGGGATGTCCACTGGCAGGGCCCAGCCCTGGGTGTGAGCCAACAATGAGCATGTGCTGTCACACAAAGTGCCAGCATTCAAGTTTAGTGTCACAGGAGGAAAGCTGACTCTCTGGGTCAGGAGCATCCTGAGCTCTCTGGCGCCTGGAAGGGGGAGGCTGTCCCCTCCTTGGCTGCTGCCACTGCCAGCCCAGGCTGGGACACCTGCTCCTGTTGGGAAATGTTGACCTAAAAGGGATTCGTGCCCCACCCCCTGTGGCTGCTTCTGACACAGCAGGTGCCAAGGGTGCCAGGAGAAAACAGTCCTGGTGTTCATATTCAAGTGCTCCCTCTCTATCTTACAGTTTAGCATACATGTATTCTGCTGTACAATATCCTGTAATTTCAACACATACTGATAAAACACGTTTTGCCATTAGGGGTGCAAGATCCCCAAAGTCTTGCCCACCAGAGCCAGGGTTAGTAGCATATGCCTGTAATCCCAGCTACTTGTGAGGCAGAGGTAGGAGGATCATGGTCTGAGGCTAGCCCAGGGCAAAAGCCTGTTTTTCAGAGCGAACTAAACCAAAAGGGCTGAGGTGTGGCTCAAGTAGCAGAGTGCCTGCCTAGCGAGGACAAGGTCCTGAGTTCCACCAAGTCCCCTCCCGCTTCCCCCCCCCCCGCCCCGCAAAAAAAATCTGCATGAGCAGCCCAGGTGAGCCTGTGACATGCACTGGCCACAGCCCCATGGCACATCCAGTGCCAGGGTTATAAGGGCGGAAATTATTCAAATGTGCCCCTTCCTTCAGATACAACGTCTAGCACTCAGGTCAGGAGGCTGAGGGAAGAGTGTCTGAGTTCGAGGCCAGCCTGGGCCCACCTGCTGGAAAACAGAGCGCACTAGAGTTTTTGGCTCAAGTCATTTTGGTGTCATCTGTGCAAGCCCCAATAGGAAGTCTGGTGGCTTTGCTTTGGCACCGCACTCTGCCACCTTACCCCAGCACCAAAGGAAAGCAGGGCTATCTATGGTGACACAGGTGTCCCGCAAATACGGGGACTGCTCACAGTACCCGTGCCATGACCTGAGAGGGTAAAGCTGTTCTGGCCCCCATTTTATAAAAGGGGAAACTGAGGCAGTGACTCAGTGTAGGTCACGTGGCAGGGAAGCAGTCGGCCCGGCTCTGGCTGTGTCTGCCTGGGTGTCTGGAGCTCTTAGGCACACAGCTGTCACCCTGTTGAAGGTGGCCTGATGGACCGGCCACGGCCTGCTGTCCCCCTACCTGCGTGTAGCATCGCAGCAGCAGACCCTTCTCCTTCAGCAGGCGGATGAAGTAGTGGCAGATGGTCGGCTGAGGGGACAATAAGCATGTGATGGCAATGGAGCCCGAGCCACCGCCATGTGCACACACGGCTCTACCCCAGGTGACCTTCACAGTGGCCTTGGGAGGGAGACAGCGGCGTCCTTCAATCCACAGATAGGAGGAGGGCGCTGGGGGACACTGCTGTCTTGCCAGTGTCACATGGCACGGGTTGCTGAGTTGAGTTCACAGCTAGGCAGCTGCTCCAGGGTCTGGGCGCCTGCATCAGCTCCCTTACACTCACAGCCACCCCTCTGAGATACCCATCTGCTCCATTTTGCAGATGGGAAGACTGAGGCCCAGGGCATGAGACCAAGAAATGTGGGGCCAGGAGGGGACCCAGGAAGCCTGGCCTGAGTCATATACTTAACAACTCTATAATATCTGCATGAAAGACCTGGAGTGGGCCTGCCTGTGCCTGTTCTCCCCATCCCTCTGCAGCAAAAGACCTCACCTTGAACTGGTCGGGATACAGCTCCTTGGCGAGGGCAAAGAAGGGTTCTGGGTGTTTCTGTGGGAAAGAGAGAGCCGAGGGTCCCAGAAAAGATGAGGGCTGGAGCCAGACTACCCCACACACACCTGTCCCCTCCCCTCAAGGCAGACATGTACCTTGAAGTAGCCTATCTCAAAGATGGCCTCTGGGTAAGGAAGATGGTACTTTTCCAGGTTGGCATAGAGGCCGGTGGTAGGAGACCGGAAGTCAGGGATGCCTGCGGCTGGGGGAGGAAGGACGGGGGCATCCCATCAGGGACCCTGGCCCCATCCGGCCACATGGACCTCCCAGAAGAAACCAAATGGAGTACTATACAAACCCACCCTGGGGGAGCCTGAGCGGGGAGGGGCCACTTACACGTGGAGATTCCCGCTCCCACCAAACAGATGACCTTGCGACCTGGAGGAAAGAACTGATGTCACCTGACGTCAACTGGCCAGACGCTGTTTCCCCATGCCAGCTCCTGAGGCAACCATTTCAGATACATCAGGGTCCCCCCACCCGCCATCTGGGATGGGGATGGTACTAATGACCCCATGTTACAGATGAGGAAACATCGGAGGACACAGTTGACTGGTAGACGGGAGTAGAATGTACTGTAAGCCAGGCACCGGTGACTCACGCCTATAATCCTGGCTACTCAGAGGCAGAAATGGGGAGGATCTCAGTTTGAGGCCAGCCCAGGCAAAATAAAGTGAGACCCTATCTCAAAAATACCCAACATTAAAAAAAAAAAAAAAAAAAAGAGGGCCGATGGAGTGGCTTAAGTGGTAGGAGCACCTGCCCAGCATGCTGAGGCCCAGAGTTCAAACTCCCGTACTGCAAGACCACACACAAGGAAACAAATTCTGGTCACAGTGCATCTCTGGCCATGATCTTGGATGACTTTCTGCTTCTAGAATTTTCATCTTTCATTATGTCGCTTTCCTCCATAGGTAAACACACATCAGCCATGGGAAGCTTGCCCCTTTTTGGCAGAGCAGCAATGTGCTACTCTCCACCTCCTCCAGGAAGAGGAGGCTGGAGACCAGCTTCGGGTCTTGACCCAATGAGTGGATAAGAAAATGTGCTATATATACACAATGGAGTACTACTCAGCCATAAAGAAGAATGAAATGTCATCTGCAGGAAAATGGATGGAGCTGGAGGTCATCATGTTAAGCTTAATAAACCAGACTCAGAAAGACAAATACAACATGGTTTCTTGCGTAGGAGGAATCTAGATGAAAGGAAGAAAGGAAGGAAGAGGGAGGAAGGAAGGAAGAGGGGGGAAGGAGAAAGGGGGGAGGGAGGAAATGACAGGAATGTAAACTAGAGACTGGGGGGGGGAACCGGTGGTAGGGCAAAAGGAGGAGAGGCTGATGGCTGGGTGACTACGAGCAAAGTACTTCATACGCGTGAGGAAATCAGAAGAATGAAAACTGCTAAAAACTGATTAAAAGGGGGAAGGGGGGCAAGAAGGAGCAACAGAGGGGGTAAATTTGATCAAAATTCATATGTGCATGTATGGAAATATCACAATGAAACACCTTTGTACAATTAATATACAGTAATAAAATTTAAAAAAATGTTTTAGCTGGGTACTGGTGGCTCATGCCTGTAATCCTAGCTACTCAGGAGGCAGAGATAAGGAGGATTGCAGTTCGAAGCCAGCCTAGGCAAATTAATTGTTCACAAGACCCTATCCTGAAAAAATCAATCACAAAAATAGGGCCGGTGGAGTGGTTCAAGGTATAGCCCTGAGTTCAAACCCCAGTATTGCAAAAAAAAGAAAAGAAGAAGAAGAAGAGGGTGTGGTCCTCCAGCTCTCTCTCCCACATACACATTCTTTGCCCTTGCCAAGGGGTCAGAGATGTGAGCTGTGGCTGGAATGCTCCCAAGCACACAGCCGGGCAGAGTGGCCCTGCAGCTGCCTCAGCTGTTGGCTGGTAGCGCCCTGCTGCACACAGCCCTGGCATCTGCCTGTCTGCTGATGGACAGACACAAGGGTGATGCTTGCCCTGGGTACTGGGCACCCCTGGGAAGTTGTGTCCTGGGAAAACAGCAAGGCTGACAAGGGCATTGGTCTCGTCTCCGGTAGGCCATCAGACCTGACCTGGAAGGACCCAGTGGGGTCACATGTCTGGGGAAATAGGTGTTCTGGATTCAGGGGATCCAAGTTCAAATCCTTATTCTGCCCCTCACCAGCTCTTTGTCCCTGAACCAAGTTACAACCATTCTGTGCCTCAGTTTCCTCCTCTGATGACCTCCCAGATAGCTATTACACTGTGATCAAATAAGAGGGACATGAGTAGCTGGACACTGGTGGCTCACACCTGTATTCCTGGCTACTGGAGAGGCTAAAATTGGGAGGTTTGAGGTTTGAGGCCAGCCCAGGCAAATAGTTCATAGACCCCCCATCTCCAAACTAACCAGAGCAAAATGAACTGGAGCTGTGGCTCAAGAGGTAGAGCACCTGCTGTGCAAGCTCAAAGCCCTGAGTTCAAATCCCAGTCCTACCCTCTCCTCCCAAAAAAGAGGACATCTATAAAGTGCATGGTGACAATTGTTGTTGTTGTTATTTAGGGGATTGAACCCAGGACCTCACACATGCTTAGGCAAGTGCTCTACCCCTTAAGTGATGCCTTTAGCTCTTTTGTATGTATTTTGCTTTTGAAACAGGGTCTCACTGACTTTGTCTGGGCTAACCTCAGACTTACAATCCTCTTGTCTCCACCTTCCGAGTAGTTGAGATTACACGCATGCATTACCATGCCTGGCTAATTGTTATTGTTTATTGCTGGCCCCTCTTGGGCACCTTCATGCACCAATGACCCCAAGACACAGACAGAAAGAACAAATGCTCTGTACCACTGCCTGGGCTTTCTTTGGATTGCCCAGGCCTGAAGATGGCTGCAGCAGGAGAGGGAGGCTCAGGGCAGTGGGCCTGGCCACAGAGGGAGGCAGAGAAGCTGGAGAAAGGGAAACCGGAGAAGATGCCCTCAACAAAAGGCTGTTCAGGACCCTCAAGGGTCCATTGTTCCTGTCAAGGACTGCTGAGGGCCTGGTTTCTCCAATTTTGGTGACTCAACTTGCAGTGAGAAATATAAATTTCATGGTGACCCAGCCAGGAGGCCTCTGCACACCACATCGGAAACAAGCTTCCTGTAATAATAACCACAGCTCTCGCCAGCCTCTGGGCACTTCTTTCTCTCTTATTTTGTTTACTCCATGAATTAAAAAAAAAAAAATCAAGATACTGAAGATTGAATCCAGGGACTCAAACTTGCTACATGAGCCATGGCTTCAGCTCTTATTTTATTTTTGAGATAGTATCTTGCTATCATTGCTGGGCTGGCCTCGAACTCTCCATCCTCCTGCCTCTGCCTCCCGAGTAGCTGGATGGCAAGCAAGAGCACCACCCTGCCTGGTGATCCGCGAGGCATTGTCAGCATTCTTACCCTAGGAAACAGGCCTGGCCAATCAGAGTACAGTAGTTTGTTCACTACTCGAGCTAGGTCTGGCCAATCAGAGACACGAAGCTTTTGGTTGTGGCAAGCACGTGACCCAGCCTGGCCAATGGGAGCCGGCCTCTGCTGCTGTGCCGGGCTCACTGGGACCAAGTGCGCTCCTAGCTGCTAGGTTGGGTGGGCCTCGCGTTTGCGGCCGTCAGGGGTCCCTGTAGCCCCCGATACAGGAAAACAGGGGCCCAGGGACTGTGGTTTGTGAGAACAAGGAAACACCTGGATCCAGCCACGCCTACAGCTGGTTTAAAGTCCGCACACGCCTCTTGTGGCTGCAGTTGGGTTTCTTGCTACTTGTAAACTAAAGGTGCGAAGTCACTTGGGACCAGAAGTGGGGGACGGGGACACTGCACTCACAGCGCTCGCTCTGCATGTAGCGGGTCACCCCCTCCAAGGTGAGCTCGTCCAGCAGGCGCTCCTTCTGGGAGCCCAGGCCCAGGGTCTGGGAGAAGAAATTCCGCAGGAAGTCCACTGACCAAAAAGAAGAGAGACAGCGGCCGGTGGGCAATCAGCCGGGGTACCTGGATATCCCCAGGGTCCTGCCCCAGCGCTGGGAAGCCCCGTCCTGCTCAGCATGGAAGGCCCGATGCCTGGCCCAGTCAGAAGCCTCCAGGACCCTGCTGTGGCACTGGCCGCAAACCCATTGCCATGCACTGTAAGTGTCACTCCTGGTGGAGGTGACAGGGATTTCCCCGGTCCCCTACCCTAAATCCCGCACCCCAGAGCCCTCCTGCATCCCCAGCCCCAGGAAGACACTCACTCTCTGCCTCTCCACCGCCAGCTGCTCCTCCCTCAGTGTCAGAATCTGTGTCCGAGTTCTAGAAGGGGCAGGATGGTGTGGCCAAGCCCGAGAAGTGGGGTTAGAGATGGGGAGGGGGGACTCTGGGTGGAAGGTGGCGAAGCCAGGGGCAGGAGAGGGCCTGTGCTAGGCCAGTGTGAGGGCTCTGGGACAGGCTGCCTGTGGGGACCTGGGCTGTTCCCGAGCAGACACACCTGGTAGGAGGTGGGCTGTTCTAGGCCTCAGGGCCTCATCTGGGAAGTGGGCTCAGAGGGTTGCTGGGAGTAGGAGCTGAGTTAGCGGACATAAGGTGCCCAGTGAGCACTGGCTGCAACTGACATCACAGACCTGATGTCCACGAGTTCCCATGTCCCTGTCCTTTGGATCAGGGGCTGCTCCCATCCAGGTGCCTATACCCTGCTCACTGAGATCACTCAGTAAATGACACCAGTGGGAGGCGGTGTGGCTGGACCTCCTGCCATGCCTATAAATGGTCTGAGCCTAGGCACTGATGATGCTCCCTCTCTGTCCCTAGACCTCAGGTCACCTTGCCCTCAGCTCACTCCCATCATGTCCCACAATGGCTTCAGCATCTCCCCCAAACCTGCTCCTCCTCCCAGCTTCTGTCTCAGTGTGGTCTCGCTGTCCCTTAATCGCCTCTGCCTCCCTCACCCTCCTGCCCCAGCCGGCAGCTTCAGCCCCTCAGCAGGTCCACTCAGCTTCCTGACAGTTCCTCTACTGAGCCCTTCTCCCTACCCCAGGGCTCCACCTGCTCCAGCCTGTCCTCTTCCCCAGGGGTCCTGCCCTGACCTCCTCCTACCCCACCCTGCCAGCTGCTAGCCTGTTTCCACTTCCGATCACCCAACTGGTGGCCTGTCTGGATTGGCCCAATCCTCTCTCCTTCAAGGTCCTTTTTGGGCAAGGCAAGGTGGTATACAACTCAGAAGGAGGGTCACGGTTCAGAGCTAGCTTGGGTAAAAGTTATCCAGCCCTATCTCAAAAACCAAGCTGGGTGTAGTATGACATCCCAGCTATTCAGGAGGTGGAGACAGAAGGATCTCTGTCTGAGACTGGCCTGGGCAAAGTTAACACAGGCCCCTATCTGAAAAACAAACTAAAAGCAAAAGACAGGATGTAGCTTAAGTGGTAGAGTGCTTGCCTAGCAAGCATAAGGTCCTGAGTTCAATCCCCAATACCTTCTCTTTGGCTTGTTCAATTTTGTCTTCCAATCACAAACATGTGCACAGTCCACCATGATCTCAGCTCCACAGGGTGGGAACTTTTATCTGTGCTCTCCTCTGAATGTCCAGCCTTGAGAACAGGGCCCCCTGACACGTGCCTGCCATGAACTAGACCAGGGCTGGTCCTATGGTGGAACTGACATATAGTCCACCTGACCAGGTCAGTCTCCTGCTTAAAAGCCTGCAGACAACCCTGCATTCACTATTCTGCTTCCCAGCCTCCCTCCAGACATGCTCAGAATGACGTTTCATTGCCTTGAATGTTGCACAGGCCTTGTAAAAACTCTGACTGTTAAAAAGCCAGGATGCAGGCGTGGTTCAAGTGGTAGCGCGCCTGCCTAGCAAGCGTGAGACCCCCAGTTCAAACCTCAGTACCGCCACACTGAAAAGAAAACATATAATTTGAGCACTTGTGATTTCCCCATTTCACCCCCCTTGAGATAACCACTATTAATCATGGTTCAATAAAAGTTACTCTAGATTTTTCTCTGCATATAAAAATGCATTATTTTTACAGAAGTGCGTCATGCCACAGTACAATATGACACCTAATTCTTTTTTTTTTTTTTTTTGGCAGTGCTGGGGTTTGAACTCAGAGTCTTGCACTGGCTAGACAGGTGCACTATCACTCAAGCCACACCCCCAGCCCTTTTTGCTTTGCTTAGTTTTTCAGATAGCATCTTGTGCTTTTCTCCAGGCTAGCTTTGGGCCTCAACCCTCCTACCTCTGTTTGTTGAACAGTCTGGGATTATATAAATGAGGCACCATGCATGGTTTGTTTGTTGAGATGGGTGCCCCTAACTTTTTGCCTGGAACTGTGGTCCTCCTATCTCTGCCTCCCAAGTTGAGTGGCTGCATAGTATCGAATTGTACAGTGACCACGGTTCATTTAGCTCATCCCTGACAGCCATTGGCTATTTCCAGTGTTGCTGTTGCACTATCAGAGACAATGCTGCAATTTACATCCTGCATCTCTTTGGGACTGAGGATCCCTTCTGACCATGAGACCTTTTTCTTTGGCAGTGGTTGTGCTTTGGGAGGCAGGGGAGTGAGATGCTGGGGACAGACAGGAGCCTGTCACCCATTTAGCATGGCTCTGCTGTGCATTTGTGGGGTACTGCAACCTCAGGTTCTGTACAGCCTCTGTTTATAGAGTGATCTCATGGGGATGAGCATGCTGGCATTCTGTGGCTGCCGACAGTGAGGCTCAGGGGACACAGAGGTCCTACTCAGCCCATGGGGGTGACCAGCTTGGAGGAAGCTGGAGGTATTGGCGGGGGCCTTCAAGCATCTGTCTACCTTTCCCTGCAGTGTCTGGAGGGCCATGTGACCACAGCAATGGGTTTCAAACCCTTCCCTTTCCCTTTACCCAAGGGACTGGGGACAAGTTACTCAACAGCTCTGCTTCAATGCCTCATCTGTAAAATGGACACATGAGGCCCTCAGGTGGATGCTGGGCAGTCACAGCGAGATGACAGACATGGAGTACCAAGCAGGCAGCGGGGCTGGAGTGATGAGTCAGAAATGCTAACCATCACTCTAATTAACTGAGCACCCCAGCTTCTCAACTCTTGAACACACGTGACATACTCTTTTCTGCCTCTGGACCTTTGCATAAGCCGTCTCTGTGTGCAACACCATTTCTCACCTTGTCTAAGAAAATTCCAAGTCACTTTGCTTATTCTGCTGTGACTATCTCCGAACCTGATTCCAAGACCAGTCTATGAGGTCCTCCAAGGAAGGAAGGCCCTGGCTGGAATCTTCTGTGACCCACCAGGTTTGTTGTGGCCTACCACAGTGCTCTGAGTACTTCCATGATCACCCTGTAGGGTCATTTGCTTATCTCTTGTTCCCAAGATATGTGGGTTCAGGAACCAGATTGGGTCCCTGCCTCTTCCAGCCCAGACGAGGTTCAGAAGGGAGTGGGGATGGGGTGGAAGGCAAAGACTGTCTCTGACAGTCTCCCGAAGCCACCAGGTGGGGCTAGGGATGGGGGCCAAGGGCCCTGGGGTAACTGTTCCCTCTGTCACCTCCCCCAGCGTGGGACATGGGAACAAGCCCATCTCTCTCCTCCCGGCCCCCTTCCCCCATCTCACCTGAGCCTCGTGCACCTTCCCTGCCTGGGTCTCCAGAGGGTCAGAGGCTGGGGAGTAGACGTGGTTACAGTGGAGGGAGTGGTTACGCGGAGGTGAAGGGATTCACGGTTGGAGGGGAGGACCCACCAATCTAGTTACACCGTGGCCAGGGCTGGCGGTAAAAGTGCAGTAGAGGGAGGGAGGGGATGGGAAAGGCAGATTTTAGAGAGGAGGGCTGGCTGGAGAGGTGGTGAGTGGAGGACTGAGGCTGAGGAGGGGAAGTTAGGAGGAGAGGAAGGAGAAAGTAGGGGGCAGGGCGGCAGGAACACGCTCCTGAGTGACGGAGTTCGGGAAGGGGAGGTTTGCAAGGCGAGGGAACTTTGTCCGGGATGAGAGAAGATAAGAGGGGAGGCGTGTGTGGGAGACGCGGTGCAGTGGAGGTGGGCGCAGGAAGAGAGGAGGGGACACCAGGGATGACCCTAGCATCCTAGAGTTGCCCGAACACCAGGTACCCTAGCAACCGGGGCCGCGGCAACTTAGGTCCTTAGTAATGAGGGTCCCCAGAAACCAAGGTGCCCAGAAACACGCGATCACCAGTAACTTAGCAAACGGACTTGCTAAAGGGACTCTGAAAACCTCGCGACCCAGAAACCCACCGACCTAGCAATAAGGACCCCTTGGCAACAGCCCTCCGAATCCCAGCCACTCCATGCAGACCCCATCTCCCCCCCTTACCGAGCCTGCCCTCGGGCCCCGGGGCCTGCAGCCCGCAGCCAGGCCCCGGCGCGGCCCGACCCTCCCACCTAGGCCCCCGACTCACGGTCCGGCTCGGCCATGGGAGCGGGGCGGGGGCCCTCGGGGCTGTCACCGACTGCTCTGTCCCGTGACGGCACCGGAAACCAGAGGGGCAGAGATAAGGCAGAGAACTACAACGCCCAGCAGCCACCGCGGCCGCATCCAAGCTTTCGCACAACGCGCGGCGCGTGCCTCTCTCAGGCGCCGACACTCGAGGGCTGGACTACGAATCCCAGAGGGCCTGGCGGCCGCAGCCATATTAGTAAAGGGAGTCCGGAAAATGTGAGGGCGACTAGATAGCGCTAGTCCATTTGAATACTCTGATTGGTCAAGCTACGGCATGGGGGCGGGGAGTGAATGATGTAACACACTCTGATTGGGTGAATCAGGGGGTGTGAATTTTCGGGAATTCCCAGCAGGGCGGAAGCGCCGGAGCTCCGGCAGAGCTCAGCGACTGGCGGGCAAGGGGTCCCTGAGGTGGTAGGGGCCATGGCTGGGGTCGCGTGCCTGGGGAAAGCTGCGGACGCGGATGAATGGTGTGACAGCGGCCTGGGCTCTCTGGGTCCGGACGCAGCGGCTCCCGGAGGACCAGGACTGGGCGCGGAGCTGGGCCCAGGGCTATCGTGGGCGCCCCTCGTCTTTGGCTACGTCACTGAGGATGGGGACACGTGAGTGAACCTTAAACTGCCAAACGGAGCCTAGGATCTGCAGTGTGGATCCTAAGCTCCAGAGCTTCCTAAACTCAGATTCCTAAGTCTGACTGCCGATGCTGAATTCCTGACCTGCTGACCCCTAACCACCAAATCCTAAATTGTTTCTTTGTTAAAAAAAACCCCAAACTAGTCTACTAAATCTACTTTCATCCAAAGCCAATAATTTCTGACCTTCCTGGTCTTGAATTCTTGTTTTCAGCTTTGGAATCACCTACCTACTGATCCCAAAACCTGATTTGAACTTTACTAACCCAGCCTCAGACTTTTATTGGAACTCTGGCTCAGTCTTCTCCTTTACCTAACCTCTACATATGATGTTTGATCCTAGGTCTTTGATTTCCAAAATTATCACTTGGCCCCTGACTCTATGATCTTGTCTTCTGAGCACTGATCTTCAATTTTTTTTTTTTTTTTTTTTTGTGAACTTAGGCTTTGAACTTGCATTGCAGGCACTCTGCCACTTGAGCCACACCTCCAGTCCATTTTGCTCTGATTATTTTGGAGATGGAGTCTCATGAACTGTTTGCTTGGGCTGGCCTTGAACCTCAATCCTCCTGATCTCATCCTCCCAAGCAGCTAGGATTACAGGCGTGAGCCACTGGCACCCAGTTAATCTTCAAACCTTAAATTCAAAAGAAAATGTAAATTCCATGTGAACAGAGATTCATCTGTTAAGCATATATTTCTCTCACATTACCACAGTCCAGACCCTATTTTAGGTGCCAGTGAGAGGCAGTGAGGAAGACAGACAAAAACTTGTGTCCTGTGGGTATACATTTCAGTGAGGTGGAAGACAGGAAGCAAGGAAAGAAATGGAAATGAAGCAAGACAGGAAGAAACAAAGACAGAAAGTAAAAGGAGGGAGAGAGAAAGAAAAAAGAAAGGCAAAAGGCACTAAGTGTTTTGGAGAAAAATAAAGCAGGAAAATGAGCCAAGCAGCTAAGCTGAGAAAAGCATCTTGGGCAGAAGGAACAGTGGTTTCCAGGCCCACGGAGGGGACTGTACCTGGGACTGTACCTGGGGTTTTTGTCTGTTATGTTTACTGCTATATCCCTAGTGACTCAGTGTCTAAGCTGTGAGAGGCACTCAATAAACACTGATCTCAAAGAACCAGCTTTGGTTTAATTTTCTTCTACTTCTCCCTTCTTCTTCCTTCCCCTTCCTCCCTCCCTGTCTTCCTTCCTTTCTCCCTCCCTCCCTTTCTCCCTCCCTCCCATTATTTTGTTATTATTATGTTTATTTTTTTTGGCAGTAATGGGGCTTGAACTCAGGGTCTTGGTCTCGTTCAGCATGGTGCGCTTCCACTTGAGCCACACCCCAGCACTTTTTATTGTTAGATTTTCGGATAGGGTCTCCCACAGGCTTTGCCCAGACTGGTTTAGAACCGTGATCTTTCTGCCTCAGCCTCCCAAGTAGCTGAGATTACAGGCATGTACCACCATGCCATTAATTTTCTATGTCTTTTAACTTTCTGTTTCATTGATTGCTCTCTGTAGTGACTTTTGTTGTTTACTTTCTTCTGATTATTTCAGGCTTAATTTATTCTTTTTTTTTCTTTGATTTTTGAGTCAGGATCTCCGCATGTAGCCCAGGTTGGCCTGGAACTGGAGATCCTCCTGCATCCACCTCCTGAGGGCTGGGATTACATTTGTGTAGCACCGTGCTCAGTTCTTTTTGTAGTTTCTTAAGGTAGAAGCTGAGGTTGATTTGAGACCTTTCTTTTGTAATATGTGTCGAGCGCTGTAAGCTTCCTCCTGCATACTGCTTCAGAAATATCTCACAAATTTGGATATGCTATATTTTTATTTTCATTCAATCCAGTATACTTTCTGTTTCTCTTTTGATATCTTCTTTGGCCACTGGATTATGTAGAAGCATGTTATTCAGTTTCTACATGTTTGGAAGAATTTCCAGATATCTTTTGGTTATTATTATTATTATTATTATTTTTTTTTTTTTTTGGTCCTACTGAGGTTTGAACTCAGAATCTCACAAATTTATTGAGACTTGTTTTAGGGCCCAGAATATTATCTGTGCACTTCAAAAGAACATACATACTTCTGTTGTTAAATATAATATTTTCTAAATGTCACTTAGAGGTTGTGTGGGTTACCAGTGTTGTTCAGGCCACTATATCCTTGCTCATGGTTTTCTACTTGTTCTAATGATGAGAGAGAGAGGTGGGGGGAGGAGAGAGAGATCTCCAACTATAAGTGTGAATTTGTCTATTTTTTCTGGTAGTTCTATTAGGACTTTTTTGGGGGGAAGGTAGGTGAGTACTGAAGCTTGAACTCAGGGCCTCACACTTGCTAGCCAGGGTCTCTACCACTGAAGCCACTCCACCAGCCCTCTATTGGGTTTTGCTTTGTGTAATTTAAGGTGGGCTATCAGGACCACAAATGTTAAGATTGTTATATGTTGTTACTTTTTTTTTCTGAGATAGAATTTCCCTTTGTAGCCCAGGTGGGCCTCAAACTCCTCCTTCCTGCCTCTGCCTCCTGAGTACTGGGATTATATGCATTCACCACCATGCCCAACTTGTCTTTCTGTTTGAAAATTAGTTTCACTGGATTAAAAGATCTAAGTAGGGCTGGTGGAGTGGCTCAGGCAGTTAAGAGCACCTGCCTGAGAGCATGAGGCCCTGATTTCAAACTCTGGTACTGCCAAAAAAAGAGAATTCTGGGTTGGCTGGGGATATTGCTCAGTGGTAGAGTGCGTGCCTTGCCCACACGAAGCCCTGGTTCTGTCCCCAGCACTACCAAAACCAAAAAAAGAACAAGAAGAAAGAAGGAAATCTAGGACAATAGTCCTTGTCTTTCTGAACTTTAAAGATATAGCTTGGGCTGGAGGCATGGCTCAAGCAGTAGAGCTCCTGCCTAGCAAGCATGAAGCCCTGAGTTCAAGCCCCAGTGCCCGACCCCCCGGCACCCCCCGCCCCCCCCCCCCACCGCCAAAATGTCATTCCACTATTTGTTCTGGTACATTTCCTGTGTGAAATCTGCTGGCATCCTTATAGTCTTTCTCTCTACTATGATCCCTTTTTTCTCTGACTGCTTTTAAGATTTTGTCCTTGTCACTGATTTTGAGCAATTTTCTTGTAATCAGCCATGGGTCTTTTTTCTTTTCTTTGTCAGTGTTGGGGATTGAACTCAGGGCCTTGTGCTTACTTGGCAGGTGCTCTGCCACTTGAGCCACACCCTCATGCTTTTGCTTGTTAGTTCTGCAGATAGGGTCTCATGCTTTTGCCCAGGCTGGCCTTGAACTATGATCCTCCTATCTCCACATCCTGAGTAGCTGGGATTATAGACATACGTCACCACCATGTCCTGCTTGTTTTCTTTCTTTCTTTCTTTTTTTTTTTTTTTGCAGTACTGGGGTTTGAATTCAGAGTCTCTCCACCAGACCTTTTTTGTGATGGGGTTTTTTTTTTTTTTTTTTTTCAAGATAGGCCCTTGAAAACTATTTGCCTGGGCTGGCTTCGAACCACGATCCTCCTGATCTCTGCCTCCTGAGTAGCTAGGATTACAGGCATGAGCCACTGGCACCTGGCAGTAGTTTGATTTTTCTGCACTTTGCTTTTCTGGTTGGTTAGGTGAGTGCTGAGCTGTGCTCCCTCTTACTACTTCCTACTACTGGGTAACACTTTCCTAAGTATTGTGCCTGGTGTCCTGTGAATTACAGGTTTTCCAGTCTGGCTGGAGGGGCAGACACTATTCCTGACCCTCTTATGGTTTTCTTTATTCTTTTTGGGTGGTTTTCCCACTCTGCCTCAGACTTACACTTCAGCCTCCTGAATCTGCACTGGAACCCTCTGAGAACTCCAGGGTCTCTCCCTGGGCAGCCCTCTCCTCTTAGGTACTCCATCCTGTGACAAAGTCACCTCACTCCAGACCATCAGCTCCCTTTCCTTCCCACAGCAGCCTACTGGGCTCTGCCTGAGTCGTCGTCCGCCCCCTTTCCCCCACTGCCTTCACTCCCCATCTGCAAATGCCAGGGTTTGGAAACTCTTAAGACAGTAAGCGACAGCCATCAACTGTAAGGGTGGCTTATGTCAACTGTCTCTCAGAATACTGCATTTTTCTGAATTTTTTTTTTTTTTTTTTTTGGGTGCGGGAGAAGATTCAGATGAGAGGGAAATCTGGTCTATTACTTCAGTTGGGTCAGAAGTGGAAATCATTTAATCAACACTGAGTAGAGAATTTTGTCAAATTAACTCTGGTTTCTGACCTTCCCAGATACTGACAACTGTTTGCAGAACTGTGGCCACCATGCCTGTCTACACACAGTCAGTGTACACAGTCGGTGTTCTATTCTTGTTGACCCCTGCCCTCTGCTTCTCTGTCTCCAGGGCCCTGCACTTGGCTGTGATCCATCAGCACGAACCCTTCCTCGATTTCCTTTTGGGCTTTTCCGCTGGCACTGAGTACCTGGACCTGCAGAATGATCTAGGCCAAGTGAGCTGCCGGGGTCTGCTGGGGGAAGGACTCAGGGTCCAGGGCTCTCAGTGTGACCTTAACCCCTGCCCTGTACTCCTGTAGACTGCCCTGCACTTAGCAGCCATCCTCGGGGAGGCATCCACCGTGGAGAAGCTATACGCAGCAGGCGCCGGGCTGCTGGTGGCTGAGCGTGGGGGCCACACGGCCCTGCACCTGGCGTGTCGCGCTCAGGCCCACGCCTGTGCATGTGTGCTGCTCCAGCCCCGCCCCTGCCGTCCCCGGGACATCCCGGACACCTACCTCACTCAGAGCCGTGACCATAGCCCCAAAGCCAGCCGCCCCCCTGATGCTGTGGACCCAGAACCCAACGTGGAGAAGGAAGAGGAACAGGGCGAGGACTGGAAGCTGCAGCTAGAGGCTGAAAACTATGAAGGTGAGAGTCCCAGGCTGGTGTGCACCCGGCTCTAGGCTCAGCTGTCCTGACTCAAGACCCAGCCCTGTGGGAAAATTGTCCCTTGGCTTCAGGGACGCTGGCCTGGGGCCAAAGACCACACTCAGACTCCGGATTATTGAGAACTGGACACAGGGGACCCAGGACCCCCACCTGGCGGCCCCAGACCTGCCACCTGCAGGCCCAGAGCTGCCTGGGTCCAGTGGCTGGGCCTGAGCTCCCCACCTGTGAAGTGCAAGCCGCAGGCCCAGCCCACGCAGGAGGAGGGCACAGGAAGCCCGGGCATCGTGGAACCTTGGCATTGGGGTTTCCCAGCTGTGGGGGGCAGGGTGTAGGGCCCCTCCTCAGCCAGGCCCCTCCACAGATGGACTGAGGTCACCCAGCAACCTCCCCCTTCAGCTATTCAAGATCCAGGTCCTTTGTAAAATAAGACCAGAGACTCAGGTCCATTGCTGCTAGCCAAAGACCCCAGGGTTTGCTGGGAACGGGTGTGTCACACCTGTAATCCCAGCTACTTGGGTGGCTGATATTGGGAGGATCAAGGGTTGAGGCAAGCCCAGGCAAATAGTTTGCCAGACCTTTCTGGCAAACTAAAATCTCCAAAATAACCAAAGCAAAATGGACTGGAGGAGTGGTTCAAATGGTAGAGCACCTGCTTTCCAAGCATGAAGCCCTGAGTTCAAACCCGAGTACCGCCAAAAAATAAAGACAAAAAAGGCCCCAGGCTCTTCACTGGTAGGCCTCAGACTTCCCACCAGCCAGCATGCTGGGACATCTGACACAGGTATTTAAGTTCTAGGTGCCTTATTTTTTTAGCGGCACTGAGGTGCCTCACGCTTGCTTAAGTCACTCCGCCAGCCCTTTTTAGTGATGGGTTTTTTGAGATGGAGTCTCGAACTATTTGCCCAGGCTGGCTTTGAACCACAATTCTCCTGATTTCTGCCTCCTGAGTAGCTAGGATTGCAGGTGAGAGCCACCGGCACCCGGCTGTAGGTGCCTCTTTGACATTGCTGAGAAGTAATTCAGGGCCCGGAACCCACACATGCTCATCTTCAGGCCACATGGCCTTCCCCAGGATTCCCCATAACTAACACCAGTCACTCTGTCCCCAGGCCACACCCCACTGCATGAGGCCATCATCCACAAAGACGCAGAGATGGTCCGACTGCTGTGGGACGCTGGAGCTGACCTCAACAAGCCGGTGAGCTGTGGAGGGGGCGGGATAGAGGGGAGTCCCCCCCACCTTGTGCCCGCTGACCTCTCTGCCACACCCTCAGGAGCCTACATGCGGCCGGAGCCCCCTGCACTTGGCAGTGGAGGCACAGGCAGCCGACGTACTGGAACTTCTCCTGAGGGCTGGAGCCGACCCTGCTGCTAGGATGTATGGAGGCCGCACACCACTGGGCAGTGCCCTGCTCCGGCCTAGTGCCATCCTCGCCCGCCTGCTTCGTGCCCACGGAGCCCCTGAGCCTGAGGATGAGGACAAGTCTGGCCCCTGCAGCAGCAGTAGCGACAGTGACAGTGACAGCAGGGATGAGGGCGTGAGTCGGGAGAAAGCCAGGCAGCCCACTGGAGGGTTTGGGTAAACGAGGAGCCAGGAGGGAAGAAGATAATTAGGTAGCTGCCATTAGGGAACTCAGGTGCTGCTGAAGGGATGGAGAGGAAGTCAGGACGTCAGGAGAGACCTGGGCAGAGGTGGCAGGAAGAACTTACGGGTTGACTTTGGGCAGAAGTAGAGAAAAGATCATGGTGGTAACCACAGGGTACACAGGCATGGGGGAAGGCGCCTTGGGCAGGTGACCTTGGCATGGTGGGGAAGGACCTCAGTAGGGGGTGAGGACAGTTTTACTTGGGAACCAGGCCACTGACACTACTCTAGGGCAAGGGATGGTGTCAAATGGTGGGGACTGAAGAATTTGGGTCAAGGTAGTGGGTCATGTGGCAGAGAGAGCTGTCAGGTTGCTGCAGTACTGGAAGACTAACAAGACTAAACTCCAACAACAGTGGTGGGAGACCCCGGGCCTGGGAGCCATGACCTTGAAAATGGTGGTGCTTTGGGAGCAGGGGACTTGGAGGAGGAGCAGGGGAGCTCAGGCTGCAGGCAGGACCCACTTCTTAGGTGGTGTGACTTGGGCAGTGGGCGAGGTGGCAGCTGTCTGAGCCCTTCTGCCATCCCTTCTGCCCCCAGGATGAATACGATGACATCGTGGTTCACAGTGGCCGGAGCCACAGTCGGATGCCTCCCGCCCTGGCACCCAAACCTCTTCCCGATGACCCCGACCCAGCCTGACTTAAGTGTTAATATAATTTCCAACTTAATAAAGGCTCAGTGCTGACAGCCAGAGTCCTGATGTTGCCTTCCCAGCGCCCCCCACCCCACTCCCCCAGTTTATTCTTGGGCCCTGTCCCTCCAAAGCCAAGTGCCACACGCTCAGCGTGGTGGTTTTCTTTGTGCTTTATTCACTCGGGGTGTGTGGGGGGGTACTGTGGGGGAGTTCCTGAGCTGGGTCTGAACCCAGCCCTGCACGGCTCAGACTTGCCCCCTCAGGCTAGTTTCTAAGGCACACCCTCTTCCACCAGGTTGGGGTGAGTGGGTGCCAGGTAAAGTGGGGGCTCTGGGGTCAACAGTCCTGAGCCATAAGGCTGTGTGGGGAGGGAGGACGCACAGGGCCGGGGTCAGGTCTCCCTCCTGAGCTCCTTCCCCAGCATGGCTGTGGCCTTCATCAGCTCCTCCCGCACATGCTCCAGCCGCTCCAGATCATGTTCCTGATGACATGAGAAATGGGGCCACCCAACAATGTAGGCCCTGTCACTCTTGATCATAGCCTACAGTGTACATGGTCTCTGATGGCCACCATCTTGGATCAGCAGCGAGGTCAATGTTGACTGCACAGCCAATGGCAGTGGCCATTGGACTAGCAACCGGCCAGCCGCCAATCATAACTTTTTTTTTTCCTGTACTGGGGTTTGAACTCAGAGCCTACACCTGGAGCCACTCCACCAGCTCTTTTTTTTGGCAGGGGGGGGCTTAGAGAGTTTCTCAAACTATGTGCCAGGGCTGGCTTTGAACCTTAATCCTCTTGATCTCGATCTCTGCCTCCTGAGTAGCTAGGATTACAGACGTGAGCCACCAGCACCTGACTCATAGTGACATCTCAATTTCCATGAGCCAGTCACGGCGTCACTCTCTCCTAGCCTAGTGAACCAAGACACCGGCCACTTTCATGACGGTCACGTGCTCGTTATGAACCAGCAAAGGTGGCTAACTGGGGTGCTTTTGAGCAATAATGGTGACTTTCCTGGGAACTGTAATATCAGACCAAAGTTCCCTTGGCCAGGCAGAGGCCTTGCTTGGATGTTGCTACCTAGTCTGGTGACAGTCTTGGTCCATTCACGGTGGCCTTGCTGGGTGTGCCCCACCCTCAGAGCTCTTGGTAGTGATCCCACTAACCATTCGGTGGTCCCGCCTGCCCTCCTGCCTCCACTCACCTCATGCTCTGCGGCCTCTTCCTCCTCCTGCTTGGCCTCAGAGCCTGGCTGTCCCTGGTGGCGGCGATGGTGCTGGGAGTCCTCGTGCCCCTCCCCCCTGCCCCTTTCGCCCTCCTGCCATATGCTGCGGCCCCCACCCAGCACCTGCAAGCCCTTTTCCGCCTCAAACCGGGCTGTCTCCTCGTCACTGGCCTTCTCTGCCACCCGCTTCTGGGGACCCCCAGCACCAACTAGACGTTGCTTCCACAGGTCCTCAAAGGTCTCAACAGGCCACCTCTTTTCTTCCTCCTCTTCTTTCTCTTCTCTCTCCTCCTGGTGGAGCTGGCTATGCAGTTGCTCATTGATGGCTTGTTCCTGGACCTCAAACTTGTGCGTCCTCTCTGCCGCCTCCTCCTCGCCCTTCACCTCCTGGCCAGACCTTATCTCCCCAGTCTCCTCCTTCTTGAAGTCTCCACCCAACAGACCTTTCTCCTCAGGGGACACACAGCCACGGGACTCTGTCTCGCATATCTCTGGCAGAAAGAGACAGGATGCTCTGTGCAGCAAACTGGGAAACTGAGCCGGGCGCCAGTGGCTCACATCTGTCATCCTAGCTACTCAGGAGGCAGCGATCAGGAGGATCATGGTTCGAAGCCAACCCCGGGGAAATAGTTCACAAGATCCCTATCTCGGAAAGAACTCATCACAAAAATAGGGCTGGTTGGATTGGCTCAAGGTGTAGGCCCTGAGTTCAAGCCACAGTACCGCAAAAACAAAAAACTGGGAAACTGATACCTTGTAGAGTTCTGGGTCCTGTCTGAGGTCCCACATGGGGACGCTGTCCCATGGTTGGGCATCAGAACTGAGAGGAGATCAGGTCCTGGGCCCTTCCCTCTGTAGGGAGCCACTAGGGTGGAGCTGGTGTCAGGATGTCAGGTAGGGGCTGGGCAGTGCTACATTTATAAGAGCCAGGGGGCCCTGGCATGGCAGGGCAGGAGGGTAGGGGGGATCCAAGCAGAGCCCTGGGTGAGGTGGAATGGAACTTTGGACAGGAAAGGGGGCTTCCTTACCTTTGCGGAGCAGAGCAGTGCAGGGTCCTCTCTGGGCTTGACCCAGGCTCAGCACCTCGGTAACCACCTCTGCCAGACACCGGGTCAGCTGGGGGCGAGGGGTGAAGGGTCAGAGGGGAGTTGAGGAAAGGAGAGTGTCTGCAGGGCTAGAGGAAGTGGAGATTGTGGAGGAGGCCGGGCGGGGAGGGGTCCACTCTCCTCACCTCCTCCTTGGAGGGTCTTGACGCCACAGGAGCAGAGCTGACTGTGAAGGAAGGAGACAGGCGCTGTCCACGGTACTGATCCCAGCTCCTGGCTCCCCAGCCCCCTCCTCAGTGCACCTGCCAGGTGCTTGGTCCCCCAATACAGTCTGGACAGCCAGTGCTCCTAGTGCAACCCGCCAGGTACCTTGCCCGAGCCCTGCCACCTGAACACCTGCTCCCTGTGCTGGCGGTCGGGTCCCCAGAATTTTTGCACTCACCAGTCCCCAACAGCAGGGGTAACAGCAGCAGCAGCACAGAAGTGGGCATGCAGCGTGCCATGGTGGGGCGTCTGGACCCCAGTCCTGGGCAGTGTGGCCACGCCAGCCCCTTATAACCCTCTCAGTGGCCCCGAAGGGGAGGAAATGATGTCACCGTGTCCCCTCCCCACCCGAGGTGCAGTGACAGCTGCTGGGCGGCCAGCCCACCAGAGACCCTCAATTATTCATGGGAACATCATGCTCCACACACGTCCCCTGGGGGCTCCCAGCCCACGAGTGTGCACCTCTTCCCAGAGTCGCATGTCTCGGGAGCTGACCTGGGTTTAGGTCCACACGTGCTGCTCACAGGCCCACCTCAGGCAGCTCTCCTTTCCTCAGGCTGTTTCCTCATCTGCAAAGTGGGCTTCAAAACCCACCTCCTCACAGGTTGCAGTTGGACTCCAGCCAGATTCCCGCTCTGTCACCTGTGCAGCCTGGGAACAACTGCCTTTTTTTTTCTCCAGTACTGGGGCTTGCACTCAGGGCCTACACCTTGAGCCACTCCACGAGCCCCTTTTTGTGAAGGGTTTTTCGAGATTGGGTCTTGTGAACTATTTGCCCGGGCTGGCTTCAAACCATGATCCTCCTGATCTTTGCCTCCTGAGTAGCTAGGATGACAGGTGTGAGCCACCGGTGCCTGGCTTTAATTTCTCTTAAGATAGTTTCTGCACTAATAAGACAGGTTTGATGCAGATGAAATAGCAAGGATGGCGCTTACAGCAGTGCCCAGCGCTGGGAACTGCACAGGCCTGCAGCACCATTCTACTGACTTTGTGGTTGTTTTGAGACGGGCTCACGAGGTAGCCCAGGCTGGCCTCACATTTCAATCTTCCTGTCTCAGCCTCCCAAGTACTGGGATTACAGGTGTGTACCACCAGGCCTGGCTCCAGTAAATTTTTTTCTTTTTGCAGGGGACTGAATCAGAGCTTTGCATATGCTAGGTGAGCACTCTACTACTGAGGTACAGCCCTATTCCTTGTTTTTTTGAGACAGGGTTTCATAAGTAGCCCAGGCTGGCCTGGAACTCAAGATCTTCCTGTCTCCAGCTCTTGAGTGCTGGGATTACAGACATGTACCACATGCCTGGCTCCAATAACTTGTGCTGAGCACCTACCATATGCTAATGCCCCTGCTAAGCCATGGGGCTATGTCAGTGAACACCCAGACCTCTTGGAGCCGACATTTGAGAACGCCAGACAACACTCACATGAATACCTGCTGCAAGGGAAGGACATGACAGCAGTGAGCCCAAGAGCACCACCTTTATTCTGAGACGGAGCCACAGGGTGGGTCCCACCCTAACTCAGGTGTTCACAGGGAGCCAGTGAGGGGCCTCTTCTTACTATCTAAGTAGGGGACAGCAGTGGACAGTACTGGCTGAGGGGCCAGCGGGGAGAACATGATGGGCAGGTTCTGGAATATTCTGAAGGTAGAGGTGCCAGTTTGCTAAAGAACTGGAAATGGACTGAGGGAAATGCCAGGATAACCTGAGGGAGGTGGCCGCAGCCACTGGCCAAAGTGCTGAGGCGGGTATGCTGAGGGCGGAGGGAGCAGGGGACCAGCTTTGGCTTTCCCGGGTCTGTGATGCCGTGAATCCCACCGGAGCTTCGGGTCAGGAGGGAGGCTGGGGCTGGGGCGGGGTTGTGGGAGCCTGGGAGCCATTGCAGGGTGCTTGTCCATGGGAAGGGGGAGGACCCAGCACTCTCTCAGCCAGCTGGCATGTGTATCTCCGGCCACTTCCCTGTAACCATGAGCCTTTGATGATGTGACCCAGCACCTCTGCAAGGCAGGCAGGGCGCTTCCTGCACTCACAGCCCCACAGAACTGTGTCTCCCGTCCAGTAGGGACCTTTTGTGAGGCTCTCAGGGTGGAAGGGAGGAGGGCTGGAGCCCCACGTCCTGTACCCTGATGCCCTGCTTCCCACTGCAGGCCAAGGCCCTCCGTGACCAAAGGGCCACTGACTGATTCTGAGGGAGAGGAGGGGCTGTGGAGCTGAATGGAGTGGACAGGATGAAGACCTCAGGACCCGCTCAGGGAAGCAGGTCCCAGATGTCCAGGGCCCCTGGAGTCCCAGGAAGCACGAATGCCCACTGGCTGACGGATGGCTCTCAGCTGGAAGCCAGCTGGCCAGGGAGCCTGGGCTTCTGGGGCTGGTTGGGGCCGATGTACTGGAGAGGCACATGGGTGGGGGCCGTGATCCGATCGGTGCCCAGGTAGGGCTGGAGAGCAGGGGGCACGAGGACTGAGCCGTCCTAGGGACACAGCAGGCCTTAGGATGCTACCCCGCCCTGCCCTCCACCCTCCACTGTCTGGGTTGGATCCTCCACCCTCACCTTTTGCTGGTTGCTTTCTAAGATGGCTATAAGGAGGCGAGGGACAGCGCAGGCGGTGGCGTTCACCTGGGAGAGGGGCATACTCAGGATGGAGCAGGATGGGCTCTAGGCCTGGGAGGGAAGAGGTGCTGGGGAGTGGACACACAGCGGAAGGGGGCTCAGCCTCACCGTGTGGGCGAACTGCAGCCCCCCGGTCTCCGTCTGGAACATGATGTGCAGGCGACGGCTCTGGAAGTCCGTGCAGTTGGAGGCACTGGTGACCTGGAGGGATGGGGACAACTAAGAGGTGCGGCTGTGGGGACAGGCCTGTCCTAATGTGTCTCCACCGGGGTGGGGCTCACCTCTCCAAAGCGGCCTCGGCCAGGCATCCAGGCCTCAATGTCAAACTTCCGGTAGGCGGGAAGGCCCAGTTCCTGAGTGGGCATGTCCAGGACTCTGTGGCCAGGGACAAAGGCATGGAAAGGTCAGGGGGTGGGAGGGGATGGAGGAAAGGAGGGGGAGGGGGAAGGCAGTAAAAGGGGGTCAGTAAAATGACTGGCAAAGAGGAAGTGATGGGGGGGGTCAGCTGGAGTAGGTGGTAGAGGAGGCAGAAGAGAAGGCACTGGTGGATGGGAAAATGGCACAGCAGGCTACAGGCTGCTCACTCAGCCAGCCGTTCTCCCCTTCTATGATGACAGCACCCTGTTTTGCAATGAGTCACCCAGGAAAAACATCCCAGTGGGCCTTCCAATGTCAGGGTCCTCCCTGTCCCACCCCACTTCCCCCTGGAGGCATCTCTGGGCTGCGTTTTTCACAATCCTGTAAAGGATTACAGATAGACAGATGACATCTGTACATGGCCCGGTAATCCTCATACAGGAAAAAGGAGGCAAAGGAGCTGGAGGTAAAGAGGCTCCAAGGTGGGAGCCCCAAGGAAGCCCCTGGTCCCTCCCTTGTCCCCCTGCATCCCACTGCCCTGCCCCTCTCCGCACCGGAAGTGCAAGCCCAACTCGGTCAAGATCTCCACCTGAAGGGACAGGAACTCATCCAGCAGCTGAGAGCTCTGTTCCAGCCCGGGGCCTGTCACCCCAAACATTTCCACCTGGGGGGAAGGGTAGAAGGCACACCATCAGGAGGCCCTGAGCACTTGGGTGACCCTTGCCCTGGCCCCCACCCTGGGCCAGCCTAGCTCCACCACCTTGGTGAAGTGGTGCACTCGGTACAGTCCCCAAGGCTCCTTCCCCGTGTCTGTCTCTGCCCGGTAGCAGGTACTGGAACAAACCATCCTGGGGGAGCAGGTGAGGCGAGGTCAGAGAAGGCAGAAAGTGTCACAGGTGAGGACTGGGTCTAAAGAAACTGAGCATCACCTGACTGGCAGGTCCCTGAAGGCCACAGAGTGGTCCATGAAGTAGCCTGGGAGGAGGAGGAAGGGGCAGGATGGGGTCAGCCAGGGCTGCCATCACCCTTAGGAAGCTTTGTGAGATTTAGCAAAGGTACTGAATCTGGTGGATGAAGTCCTGAGTTACAGCATATAGCCCAACTGTCACTGCGCTGTTGTGCAGTAAACCACCTACGCAACTGTACTGCTGGCCGTGGGGTGATTGAGCTGTCCCAAGTACCTCCTGACACTTTCATCCACTCCCTCAATGCCTCCTGCTCCTCGCCCCCACCCCTAGGCAGGTACTCACCGGCAAGCCCCACTTCTGCTGTTCCAGCCAGGTTGAGGTCTTCGAAGCGGGAGGGGTCGATGTTGTAAATTTGGGATGGGCTGGCATTTGGTGTCATCCCGCAGCCTTCCTGGGAGAAGGCCAGTGGGTCAGGGGACAGGTAACCTTGGCCTCTTGTAGTCATAACTCAGCTTCTCCCCAGAAGTATGTGAAATTGCTGCCCCCCTCCCCCTGCCATCTTACGGCCTGGGCCCCTCTCCCCACCTCCAGGGGTCCCAGGGCAGGGTCTGCACCCAAGGCCTCACTCACAAACACAGCTCCTCGCAGGAGGTCTGGCACTGTCATGGGGACGAAGCCCTGTGGGGCAGGAGGAGGGACAAGCTGAGGACACCACGGTGTGAGCGGGGGCCTCCCGTTACTCCCAGGTGGACGGGGAACCAGGCAAGGGCCAAGGAGTGGCCCAGGGCCCTGGTGTCCTTGTCACTGGGGCCCACGGCTGCACGCTCCCCACTTTCTTCTCACTCTGCCCCACACAGGGCAGCTGGAGGCACCACTAAAAAGTATAGACCTGACCTTGTCATTCCCCTGCTTAAATGTCTGACTCTCCCACTGTGGCCAGCTAGCTGGCTGACTCCCCGTTCCAATGTCCCTCTGCCCAGGCAGTGAGAAGCTCCAGTTGGGAGATCTTGGGACAGATACCTCCCGTATCCAAGCCCCAATTTCCACATCTTGAAAGTGGGGATAAAAGCAGCCTCCACCACATAAAGGTGTCATAGGAATAAGTGTGTCAACAATACAGGAAAACTTAGAAAGGTGCCTAGCGCAAGGGTTGCCCCTTTCCCAAGCTTGGGGTCAACGGTGCCCCCTACTGGTGCACAGCTGGCTCATACCCGATGGACGAGCTTGTCCAGAGCAAAGCTGACCAGGCCGTGCTGCAGGAGGGCCCCAGCCCCACGCAGGTAATAGGAACGGTGTCCAGACACGTGGGACAAGCGCCTGGAAAGGGACAGGGAGACAGACAGTGGTGCCTATGGGCAGGGCTGTGGGGGGAGCAGGGCTCATGCAATCAGGGGTGGAGGCCCAGCTGCCATGTGGGCCAGGCATCAAACTTTCATGCAGGGGTGTGGTCCTGGCATTTCCACACACTGAGGCCACCAAGCAGGAGCGGCTGCCAGCTGTTAGGGTGGGGATGGACAACTGTAGATGGCACAGGGGAGGGGAGGGCAGACTCACTTCTGACGGATGATGTCAAGGTTCTCGCCGATTTCCAGATGGCCCCGGGGTTGGAAGGAAAAAGCTGGATGTGGTTGAAGAACAATGGAGTAAGACAGGGAGGGGGGGATGGAACTGAGAGAGAAGATTAGGGAAAGAGGAAGCAGGTAGGAAGAATGAGGAAAAAAGAGGAGAGGGAAAGGGAACAGGGGAAAGGAAGAGAGAAAGGGATATGAAGGAGGAGAGATGGGAATGGGGAAAAGAGATAAATGCGGACGGGTGTGGTGGTGCACACTTATAATCCCAGCTGCTTGGGAGGCAGAGGTAGAAAGATCAAGATCCAAGGCCAACCAGGGCAAAAGTGGGAGATCCTTCCTGAAAAATAACTAAAGCCAAAAGGGCTAGGAGGATGGCTCAAGTAGAGTGCCTGCCTGGCAAGCTTGAGGCCTTAACTTCAAACCCCAGTACTGCCAAAAAGACATTTGAGAGAGAGAGAGAGAGAGAGAGAGAGAGAGAGAGAGAGAAGTAAGTGGGCAGAGAGATGAGGAGTTAGATGAAGAGACAAGCAGGGAAAGAGAGGAAAAGGTACAAGGAAGGCAAAATGAATATCAGATGGAGAGATGAGATAAGCATGGTGAGGCAGGGAGGAAAACAGGAGAGGAGGGAAGGGAGACCAAAGCAAGGGAGTCAAGCAGAAAGATGTGCGTGCCTGCACACACGCCTGTCCCCGCCACGAGCCACAGGACGAGCAAGCCCAGTGAGACAAGGAGAGGGGGGTGAAGACTGAGACGCCCCAGGACTGCTGGCTCCCCAGCCCTATGGTGTGGCCTACCTGGCTTGTCCCCGACCACGAGGAGCACCCGGGCCTGGCTCTCATCCCCTGGTGGCTGCAGGGAGACAGGGGGTCACAGGCAGGCGATGTCAGGGGCCCTCCCTCTCTCCATCCCTTGTGGCCCAGTGTGGCCTCACCACATCTGGGTGGGTCTGGTTGGGCAGCTTCAGTGCCTGCAGGTAGAACTGCTCCTCCAGCTGCGTCTCCCTGGGGTACAGAAGCGCCAGCTGCTTCCGGATCTCCCGGCCTTGTGCCCGCAGACCCTGATACTGGGGGTCCTGCGGGACAGAGGGTTGGGCAGTGCTGGGCAGGACTGCTGTGTGACATTCACTGCCTGTTCTTTTGCTCCAGCACCCTGAGTTGCTTTTTAGGGATCTCCTCACCACCACATTGCAAATTCACGAGAACAAGGCTCAGGCCTGGTCTTGCCCATAGTGGGTGGCTCAGCTGAACTTACAGAATCAACGCCAGGCCTCTGGCTGGAGCTACAGGACAGTGTGTTCCTGGACCCTGCCTCCCCATTCTACAGGGGGAGAAAACTAGGCAGAGAATGAGAAAAGCCAGAACCTGAATGCAACTGTACCTGAAACCAGGCTTTTAGTTTCACGAGCAAAGCCTGTTTTCTTCTCTCCCCTTAAACTTAATTTGAGTTGTGCTTCCTGTCATTTCCAGTGAAAGAACTAGGGTCAATATGGCATCCTCCCTGCCCCCCACACGAGAGACAAGATGTGGGCTCCCTCGGATACCTGCTCTACTTGGTCCTTGTCCCGGTTTACCTGAGAGAAAAGAGGGAGGAGGATTAGGATGATAAACTTGAGGGCGGGAGGAGAGAAAGGAGCAAAGGTCAAAGGGGATCTGAGTGTTCCTCTACCACTACTGAGGCAAGAGTGACGCCCACAGTGGCGAATTAGGTGCTACCTCCACAAGATGTTACTTTTTCTTTTTTTTTTTTTTTAATGGGCTCAATATGTAGCCCAGGCTGACCTTGAACTACTGTCTCTGCCTCCTAATTTCTGGGATTACAGGTGTGCATCACCACACCCAGCCACGATCTTACTTATTCCTGACCCACTCTGAGAAGCTGTCCTCAGTGTGACACTCATTTGTGGATGAGAGGCTGAAGTTCGGGGGGAAAGTCTGGACATGTGCATTTGGAGGCTTTGAAGTTCAGAACCTTCTACCATCCTGCACAGCTGAGGGAATAGGGCAGATGTGGATCTGAAAGTTGGGCACCCATCACTACACACCCTTGAACAAATCTCTTCCCCTCTGCGCCTCAGTGCGCCCCGTGAGGTGGGATGGTTATAGGAGCTAGCTGCCAGGGGAGTGGGCACCTCCCTGAGCAGGGAACACTAACAGGTCAGTTTTGTTGTGTTTACTGGCTGCAGGCCCCAGATGCGTGTAGCCAGGGTCCCACACACAGTAGGTCCTGTGGAGACGTAATTATTGGTGGGAGGGGGGACTTCAAGGTGAGTGGAGGAAGGTAATCCATGTGCCTGAATGTGACCTCTCCCACTTTCTGGCGGTAAGACTTAGGCCCGGTTTAAACTCTTGCCTCAGTTTCCCCAGCTGTAAAACTGGTTTGTAAGCTAGGCATAGTGGTGCATGCCTGTAATCCCAGCACTTGGGAGGTTGAGGCAGGAGGATCTGGGGTTTTGAGCCAATCAGGGCTATATAGCAAGACCCTGTCTCAAAAAAAGAACAAAAGAAAAAGAAAAAGAAACGAAACTGGGCTTGTATGGTGCTATTGTGAGGATTAAGTCTGTGATTTTTAGAACTTTCTTTTTTGTGGTGCTGGGGTGGAACCCAGGGCCTCGCCCATGCCAGGGGCTCACTCCCTAGCCCCTTAGTGCTGCATGAAGCTCTCTGTGGCCAACACTGTCAGTTGTCTAAGCCAGGATCCCTCCGCCCCTGGCTCAGTTCACCCTCCCTATGCAGCCTGCAGGTCAGGGATGGTGGACCTTGCTGCTCATGACTGGTGGGTGTGGTGGGCGTCTGGGCCCTGAGACAGGAGGGGCTCTGTTAAGGAATGGTCTCCCTGCCTCTGGAAAAGGCATTGTGCCAGAGACATCCCTGCCTTTGCCTCTGATGGAGTCAGGCGAGGAGATGCCACACTGCAGCCATCTTGACTGAGATGGAGAAATTGAGGTTAAGACCAACATGGTGAGGTTGCCAGCGCAGACCCGGGGATGCTGGGGACAGCTGCTAATACATCAGGCTAGGGATGTGGGGCCGTGGGTCTAGGTGTGAAGCTTGTAACCATCCACGTGATTCCTGGTACTTCAGTCAGAGGTGTCCGCACTGCTGCCCCACCGGCTCGGAATGCCTGTGCTCACCAGCAGGGCCCTCACTGCCTCCGTCACAGACGCCTTCTCTGCCTCCAGGCTCTGGATCTGCTCCTTCAGCTGGCGCAGCTCCTGCCACACGGAGATCTGTAGGGACATGGGAGGGAAAGGCCTGAATGGCCACCACCCTGCCTTCTCCTGAAGCCTCACCCGCTGGCCACTTGGACAGCAGTGGGCCGAGGCAGAAGCCCTCACTGCCTCAGGTAGCCCATCTCTCCTGTTCTCTTCAGCCCTGCCCTCTCCACTGCCTAGCTGGGAACATGGCTGCTTGTACTGATGTAACCGAGACCAACCAATGGGCATGCTGCTTGGAAGTGCATATGTCACCTCTTAGGTGACCTCTTAGGTGAGGTCACCTCCTTTTGCAGACAGTCTTGCTAAGTACATGTAGCCCAAACTGGCCTTGAACTCACAATCCTCCTAAGTATACAGATGAGTACTTTTAGCCTTTGATGGTGCTGTTGGTTATGTGCACCCTACCACAACTACCTCCTGTTCCTTTCAGGCCTCAGCCCAGAAGTCTCCTCCATCAGGAAGCCTTCCCTGGTCTCAGAAGTGGAGTCAGGGCCTCATAGCCTTTAGGGCTTCCCCATCACAGCTGTTACTGGGGCTGTCACTGCCTAATGTAGTAACTTGTCACAGGACTGAGTTCCATGAGGGTAGAGCCTCGCCCTGACAAATCACAGCCAGCCTGTCCAGGTCATGCACAATGAATGGAGAAACTGAGGCTGGCAGAGTTGGGGGAGAGGTTGCCCATGTGCAAGGCCACTCAACTTGGTGGCAGAGCTGTGTGTGAACCACACCCAGCCAAATCTGAAGTCTTGAATAGTTATATCCACAGCAGCCCTGGGCTGACTCATTGGGAAGTCAGAACAGCAGTGAGGTGCCAAGCGGTGGTGCACAGGCACCATGCAGGTGCACAAGACAGTGGAGAGGATGCTGATAATGCTCCTATTGCAGAGGAGGACAGTGAGGCCCAGAGAGGGGAAGTGCCAGTGCAGTGTCACACAGCATGGGTAGGCTAGAATTTCCTAACAGGTCTAACCCAGGCCAAAGTTCACTCATTTCACCATGACTTTTTTTTTCTTCTTCTTCAGTACTGGGGTTTGAAAGAGTAATGATCACAGCACACTATATGCACGTATGGAAACACCACAATGAAACCCCTTGTACAATTAATATACGCTAATTGTTTGAAAGTGTTTAGAACTAGCTGGTGTGTGTGTGTGTGTGTGTGTGTGTGTGTGTGTGTGTGTGTGTGTGTGTGTGTGTGTGTGTGTGTGTGCAGGGAGTGTCAGAGGCCTGGGAAGACCTGGGTGTTTCCCTGTATCCCACCACAGAGTTATGGTGACCCCAATTCTAGTTCCCTAGCATGCAGTGTAGAAACGCTAGTGTTTTACTGGTATTCACCGCTCTTTACGTATCGGCTCAACAGAAATCACTCATTCATCATACCCAATGTGACCTGTCTGCCATCTGTGGCATCTGTGCACAATTCTGCCTCTCCTTCTACAAAAGCAAGAGCTCCCCCGACCCCATCTGATTCACACCCTCTGCCCCTCATTTTCTCTTGAGGTCTAGGATGAGCCTGGCACGACGCTGCAGCACGGTAAAGTCCCGCGCGCATTAGGAAACAGACGCAAAAGCAAAAGCGCTGTCCCGATCACCGAAGTCACCCTTGGCACGTAAGTACTCAGTACTACGAGTAACCTGGGCCTCAGTACTCACCGCATCAAGGGCACGTATGGGTGCCATGCACAAGACGTTGGTTAAACTTGGGAAGGAAGTAAAATTCCTGACAATAGCTCCCCTCTACCGGATCGCACCTTACAAACCCAGCTCAGTAAAGCCAGCAGCTCAGGCTGGCGCAAGCGCACTCACGATCGCGGGCAGGTCGGCCGGCCGCAGCTCCCCCTTGCGGAGCTCCAGGGCCCGCGCGGTCTCTTCTGGGCATGCGCACAGCGGCCCCATGTCCAGCTGAGGGAGTGCGCTGTAGCCCTCGCGCGCGTGCTCGTATAGCAAGTTCCGGTTTCGTTTCTCCGTAGCGAAACTTCTTTTTGGGCTCTGGCTGCAAACGCAGCCTCCCCGGCGCCGGAGCCCCTGACGGGTCAGCAAAGGCCACAAGCGCCGGACCATGGACGTAGCCATCTTGGACCGGGAAGAAAGCGTCACGCTCCTTTTGTCCCGTCCACTCTACGTTTAGACCAATTGCAAAGCAGCCATTCTGTTGGAATGAGCCAATCAGACCCTGGAAGAAATTGCCCAGGCACTGAGGAAAGTTGACTGAGATAGACTCTGCCGTTGCCCAATCGTCGTCTGTGTCCCGCCCCCTCAGTGATGCAGAGGCAGAATCAGCCAATCCCTACACAGAAGATCCCCGGAAGGGGCTGGAGGCAGGAATCAGCATGTCTGCAGACCCTGCTAGGGTCGGTGAGGTCGGTGGATTCCACCGATCCCCTAAGCCTCCCAGCTCTCGCCTTCTCCCGTTTCTCCTTCCTCACTCACGGCGAGGTTAAGTTTGAGGACGGATTTTTTGTTGGTTATACCCTTAGAGGAAATTCCTTAGATTTAACAACCAAAAGTGGGACGGGAACAATTTGCGACCACGGCCACTTTCCCCTGCTTCTTTCTGAGTCTCTTACTCCTAACACAGGGACGCACCAGGCGGCGAGATGTCCTGGTGTGGCCTTCTCCGTAGCCTCAACACGTCCTTAAGTCGTGGTAAGTGGGCTTGGGCTGAAGGGACAGTCTGGATGAGTGTCATTCTCCTCCCTTGGACTTGTGTACCTCCGCCAGAGCCCGGATGGAATTAGGGGACTTAAATCGGGTGGATAAGCGCTACGTCTTTGGCGGAGCTCGGACTGCAAGGGCAAAAAGTGGGAAATAACTGTATTTGACATAGTTTGGGTCACACACAGTCATACCCCACATAACGAGGTTGAGGACGGTGTGTATGATGGTGGTCCTATAAGATTATATGACAGGTGACATTCTGCCCGTCTCAGTTTATGGACGTAGAAAGTGTACTTCTTAGAACACGGCTCCCTGGTTAAGCATGGCGTGGAGGCTATTCCTTCACCAAGTCTTTATGGACTACCTCGCCTGATGAGAAATCCAAACAAGGTCGTTTAGTCATTCATTTACATGATGTTTTTCAAGTATGTGCCAGTCCCTTAAGGGAGCTTTATTTTCTTTCTTCAGATATCAAATGCTTCTCGTGGGGCCGGGGGTGGTGCTTCACACCTGTCATCCCAGTTACTTGGGAATCAGAGGTAGGAGGATCTTGAATTCAAGACAAGGTTTGAGTTCAAGGCAAAGTTTTAAAGCTCTTCTTAAAAGAACAAAGAACAATCAAAAGGGCTGGGGGCATGGCTGAAGTGGTAGAGAGCTTGCCCAGCAATCCTGAGGCCCTGGGTTCAATTCCCAGTAGGGGTGGGGTGCTTATGGGCCGCCTAGGGTGCAGCTCTGTAAACCTTTCTTACGCCTTCTGTTTGTCAATCACCGAGGATCCCAGGATGGGCAATTCAGGCCTGCCCTCTGCCTGGGGAACGAGGGCTAGCTGAACATGGTAACCTTACACACAAAGTGCCAAGGAGGCAGACGTGATCATGGTGCCCGGATGCAGCTGAGGATACAGGCACTTGAGAGGCAAGAGTCTTCCTCAAGGTCACACCACTAAGCATCACTTCTAACTAAGTGTGGCTGCTTCCCTTTGAGGATCCTGCTGTCACCAGAGAGCTGACATGAGAAGAAACAACAGGGCCAGAGCCTGCACTGGATAAGGAGGGGAGCGGAAGTTGGGATGCTGACAGCATCAGTGCTGGCAACAGGAGTAGGAGATGGCTACATTGACCTCAGAGTCCAAGAGCTCATGCAGGGCCCAGTGCTCTCCATCACTCATGTGCACCATTGCTGGGGTCAAGACACTGTAGGTACTCAGTAAACATTGGTTCCAGGGAACACAGTTACAGCCTACATCCAGTTGGGGAACCAGGCCTGTTGGCTTTGAAAATACATCTCCCTCCCCTCCCCTCCCACTGCCTTTCCTTATACCACAGGAGCTCCAGCCACAGTGGTCTCTCTGTTGGTGGTTTTGGGGCCTGGGCTGGAGCAGCGTGAACCAGGGGCCCGTGTGGAGCTGAGATCAGGGAAGTAAGGGCAGATTGGGTGGGGCCTGTGGATGCCAGGGAGGTTTGGGAACAGACTGGTGGCAGGGAGACACGGGAGGAGCAGAGTGCCAAGGTAGACAGGCTGGACCAGGCTAAGGTGGGAAGAGCAGAGAGAGAAAAGCAGTGGATTCTGCCAGGATTGAAAGTTGAGCTATGTGTGCTTACAGGTGGATGTGGACTGAAGAGGGGGTCTGACATCTCCAGAAATAGCTCACTGGCTTGCTGTGGAGGTGGATGAATAAAGTACTCCTGCTCCATTTCATTAGTTTTGGTGGTACTGGGGATTGAATTCAGGTTCTTGTGCTTGCTGGGCAGGTGCTCTACCACTTGAGCCATATCCCCAGTCATTTTTGCTATAGTGTTTTTGATAGGGTCTTGTGCTTTTGCCCTGTGAGCTAGTGATTTTCCTACCCCTGCCTCCTGAGCAGCTGGGATTACAGGCACGCCTCACTGCATTCAACCTTAATTTCGTGATTTCTGAAACAGCATTCTAATTAGTACTTTATTTGCAGAATATAATTAGTTTATGTAAAAATGCTCGAAACAGAGCCCTGACAGTAGTGGTGGTTCAATGAATGTGAGCAGTTGTTACAGCCCTAGACGTTTACAGATGCGCCCTGGAACACCAAAACCAAGTAGGAAATGCTGTTAACTGTTCTCCAGGGTAACAGACCCTTTCTTCCCTCCCATGTGTCCCTCCAGGCCTGGCCCTGGTTCCCCAGCTCTGCGCCACTCGCTCCATGGCTACCCTGAACCAGATGCACCGTCTGGGGCCCCCCAAGCGGCCACTTCCGCGGCCCGGCCCCACCGAAGGGCGGCCGCAGCTGAAGGGCGTGGTTCTGCGCACGTTCACCCGCAAGCCCAAGAAGCCCAACTCGGCCAACCGCAAGTGCTGCCGCGTGCGCCTCAGCACGGGCTGCGAGGCCGTGTGCTTCATCCCCGGCGAGGGCCACACGCTGCAGGAGCACCACGTGGTCCTGGTGCAGGGCGGCCGCACCCAGGACCTGCCTGGCGTCAAGCTCAAGGTTGTGCGCGGCAAGTACGACTGCGGCCACGTGCAGAAGAAGAAGTGACCGTGGGCGCGGTGGGCCGGGTACCCTCGCCGGAAGCGTGCCTTCCAGGGACAGGTCACCTAGTCGTCAGGAGGGGCATTAGTCTGGGGGGTCGGGGGTGAAGACGCAAAAGGCGCCCGCCGACCACACCCCTGGCCGCAGCGTTTCCCGTTGGCAGAAGGGACCACTTTGCTGCCACAGGACACTGCTCAGCCCACAGCTGGGGAGGGAAATAATAAACACAGATCCCCTTACCCCCTGCCACATTTGCCTTCTTGCTGTGCCTCAGTTTCTCTTACAGAAAGTAGTTCCATTGGCCCGGTCTGTCTGGTTTGGTGAAGATTAAAGTACTCCGCCTATGTGCTCGGTGTGTGTGTGGGGCGCTCTCTGTTTTGACTTCTGAAGTCAATTTGGCTGCGATCTGGCCCTTTGGAGGTTGGGGGGAGCGGGCTCAGGAAGGCCCCCCAAAACACAGCCTCCTGGAAAATGGCAGTTATAACCTAGACGTGGAAGGGGTTATTAGTGCTAGGTGGGGTGCCTGCCTCATGCTTGCGGACTGTTCTTTGACATAATTTGTTTTCTTTGGGTTTTTTGAGATAGGGTTTCACTCTGTAGCCCAGGCTAGCCTTGAACTCCAGATCTTCTGCCTCAGCCTCCCAAGTGCTGGGATTACAGGTGTGCACCACCATACCCGGCTCTGTTCTTTGCTATTAGGCTCACACACCTGGCTCTACTGGGTGTAGTGTTTTCCCCTTTGGGCCTCAGTTTTCTTCCCTGGAGTATGACCCCCATGGTAGTGCTGGCCTCCGTGACAGAGGCATGGCCACGTGGATTTTCAGTTGCAGGAGTTGTGTTCAGGTTATTGGCTCCAGAGGCCACTCTGGTCCAAGGCTTACATTCTCTGCTTCCTGGCTGGTGAGCTGGTGCAGGTCGATTGAACTGTGAGCCTGGACAACATGCACCTGCCTGAGCAGTCTGGAGGACCCCAGAGTCTGGCCTGGGAGCCTCTGCTGTGTCACAGCTGTCGCTGGGCTGGGGAAGCTCGCTTCCATACACACAGCCTTCTGAGTCTCATGGTTGCAAACACCACAAGGTCTTTGATGATTGAGTCTGCAGGTGGCAAGTGCACTGATGACAGACAAAGGCCACCCACTGCCTCATATCTAGCACCCATTTTATTGAGCCTGTAGCTTGGCCAAGCCTAGCTGGGCAGAGAAGATGGGGTCAGGAGAGCAGCCCATCTTGCTCCAGGGGTCTCTGTAGGAGAGGACAGCATACAGGGCAAAGGAGAAGAGTATTACCCAGCAGGAGGTTGGGGGGACGGGGCCTCCCTGAGGAATTCTGATGGGAGTCAGCTCCAGCCTGACCAAAGGGGAGGCACCATGGGCAAGGCGGGCAGACATTACCCAGATGGGGCCAGGTACAGGACCCTCAGCTGAATCCTAGTAACTCCCCAAAACAACAGAGGTTCTTTTGAGGCCCCTGTTGGTCTCAAGGTCAGAACCCCCCAGATAATCTTTGCTCCCTGCCATCCCCCACCTATCAACCCTAAAAACATGCTCCAGAGTCACTGTCTCCCTGTGGGTTTGGCCTTTTCGTTTTCCATCCCTCCTTTCTTTTTTGTCAGGGTCTGGCCTTGAACTCGCAATCCTCCTGCCTCTGCTTCCTGAGTTCTGGGACTACAGGCATATACCACCATGCTCAGTTGGCCTGATTCTTGCCCCGAATGATTCCAAGCCCAGGAACCAAGGAAACGCCTGGGTCATATTATGACACCCCTCGCCTGGGGAGTGGAGGAAGCTATAAACCAACTGGCTGGGTCCCTGGCTTGTCACAAAGCACGAGGGCCACCATGCCAAAGCAGCAGCAAGGTTCCACGCGTTATCCTCAGACTCTGGGCTGCAGAGCCACAGGTGGATTTGACAATTTCCGCAGGTGGCAGTGCATCCCGGAGGGCGGGTCAGGCTGATGGGCTAGGACAGCCGGATCCTGACCCTGACACTGGAGTGGGTCACCAGGGCTCCGTAGTGCCCCACCCAGGAGCGCATGTCTCTCCCGTACTGCTCAAAAGACACATAGCGGATGCCTCTGCCGAAGTTGGTGAACACGTGGGAGACCTGCAGAGGACGGGAGAGGGGAGAGCCTGTGGACTCCTGTCACTCACGCCACCTGCTGGGTGCTGGGGTTGTGCAGTGGGGGCAGCACCAGAAAGCCCATGTCCTTCTGGTGGGGGCCACTGCTTACAGTGAGGGGAGGGCAGAGAGCATTCTGCCAGGAGGCAGGCGTGTGTGAGTAAAGCAAGCAAGCAGGCCAAGCCCTGGTGGAGGTGACATTTGAGGAAGAAGAGGAGGGGCTCTGGAGGAATGGTGTCTAGACAGTGTGAACAGCCAGTGCAAAGGCCCTGGGATGGGAGTGTGCCTACAGCAAAGGGGAGAAGTAGAAGATGGAGTCAGACCACATGGGGGCTTGTGGGCCACAGGAGGACTTTGGCTTTCTTTATCTGGGGCCTCTTGCATGCTAAGTGCTTTACCACTGAGCTATACCCTCTGACCCTCATTCCCTTTCTATGGCTATAGAACAGGTGGCCAAGACAATGTAGTTACAATGTGAGTCTTGGTTTTTTTTGTTTGTTTTTTTTTCTGTCGGTACTGCGTTGTTTTTTTTGTTGTTGTTGTTGGTCCTGCGGTTTGGCACTTGCTAGGCAGGTGCTCTACAACTTGGGCCATGGCCCAACCCTTTTTGCTTTAGTTTGTTTTTCAGATAGAGAGGGTCTCATACTTTTGCCTGGACCACCCTCATCCTATGATCCTGCTACCCCAAAACAAGAGGGTTCCCTTTGAGGTCCTCTCCTACCTCCATCTCCTGAGTTGCTTGGATTACAGTTATGTACTACCATGCCTGGCCCATTATGTGACTCGTTTTTTGGTGGAACTTTTGAATGCTGTGTCTGTATTTTTGGTAGAAAGGGCAAGAGTGAATGCAAGTGGGCACCTAAAAGTTTACTTTAATCTCTGAAGTATATTGATTACGACACAGATTTGGGAGCCAGCCTGGCTTGGATCAGGCCCTGTAAACCTTAGTGTGACTTTAGGCCACTTACCCTCCCTCTGCCTCTGTTTCCCCAATTCCAGGATGGAGACAGAACAAGGACTTTGGTTCGCCAAGGCATTCCAGCACCTTTAGCAGTGCCCGGCACACAGTAGGTGACCAAAAAATGTTTGTCGAACAACTATGCTGTTGTGCCAGTAAAAAGAACGAATCTGTAAATCTCTCAGAATGCGGTCTGGGACATAACGAAGCAAGTGCTGGATAATTACTACAGATGTCCTGCCATGAGAGCGGAGGGCAGAAACTCAGCAACTGGAGCGGGCCAGGGGTGGGCGGGGAGGCGGTCCAGACCCACCTGTCGGCAGCTCCTCTCGGTCCACTGAAGGACAGGGTTGGGTGACGCCGAGAACTTGACCACTTCGTTTTCGTACACGTCCAGGAGGCGCACACGAAGCCGGTAGATGCAGCCGCAGTTCTCTCGGGCGCCCCACCTGCCGGGTGGCAGTGAGCCTCCATGCCCCTGCCACCCAGCCAGCGCTCTGGGTTGAGAGGAGGGAGACTGAGGGCAAACACGTGTTTGGTGGGGTCTGGACACCCTGGGGGTGGGGCCAAGCTGGGGGAGGAGCCTCAGCGGCATTGGGTGGTTGGATTGGGGGCATGTGCTCTAGCGTGGAGCCACGCCTGGGGGAGGGGCATGGTCCAGAGGCGGAGCCAAGCCTGGGAAGGAGACTGGGCACCATTGGACGGTTTGGTTAGGAGGCGGGGCCATGGGTCACGCCCAGGGGAGGGGTCTGAGCCAAAAGGGAAGACCGAATGCTTTGCAGAGGCGCCAGCGGGCTCTGGAAGGAGGGAGCTGGCGTGAGCTCATCCTAGGCTATGAGGTCAACCAGTGCCCCCACCCCAGCTGTGTGCCCTCCCAGCGTCAGTTCTCAGGGTATGGTGACCCGTGACCCTTCCGAGGCCTTGAGCATCCGTGAGCCTTTAGGATCAGCACTGAGTTGGGTGATGGGGACATCATGACAGTCAGTGGCCCCATGTGGACATCCTAGGGCCTGCTGGGATAAGGGTGGGGAGGAGTGGGGGGCGGGGGCTCTGGGCTCACCAAGGCTCTGCCTCTCCCGGTCTGTGCAACCAGGAACTCCTAACCAAAAAATGTACCCATACCAGCTTGACCCTATGGGGCTGGGGAGGCAGAACTGAGACACTGCTGCTCAGCCTGCGGCTGCCACCATCCCTGTGGCTCCAAGGCAAGCTGCCACTCTCCACTCACCAGTCAGCCACGCAAATCTCAATCTGGGCGCTGTCCAGCAGCTCCTGCCATACCCCCTCCATCACCAGGTCCACAAGCTGCCTCTTGAAGCACCATCTGGGAGGGGAGATGCACACAGTCCCCATCTTCAAAGCACAGCCAGAAATCACCTCCTCCAGGAAGACTCTCCTGATCACCCTGCTTAACTCAGGATTTGCTTTTCAGGATTTGTTCCTCTGGACAGGAGGATGTAGGCTTAACCGTGCACCTCCATCCTCCATCCTGCTCTGCCTCCAAGAGGCTGACCGCCATGCTGACCCCTACTGTTTGTGGGGACCAGAAAATGAGCAGACACAAAGACCTCCAAGCAGGGACTTCTGGCACCTCCTAAAGTGCAGGGAGTGGGGTGCTCAAGGCAAAGTGCATGACCTCAATTCTCTGCTTCCCGTTTGGGGGCCAGTAAGAGGCTCCAGCAAGGAGGGTTGGAGAGAGGAACGGAAGGAGGGAGGAAGTGAGAGGGAGGGAGGGAGCGGGGAGAGAGAGAGTAAAATCTAAGTATTAATCCTCTTGGGTTCCTCAAAGAGGACTGGGGGCATGGCTGAAATTCAATCCCCAGTACCAAAAGGCAAAAAAAAAAAAAAGAGCCAAAAGAGCCTCTCCTTACAGCCTTCCCTATCCTCATGATTCACTAGCTGCTTCCTTCCCTAATTTGAATGTGCCACCGTAACAGGGTGTAGTGTTGGTGAAAGCACGGATAAATTGATCAGTGGAGATGAAGTGTGTGAGGAACAGACCTGACTATGCATGGGAACTTCATAAATGACAGAGGCAGCAGTGCCATCCCATGGGGACCAGATTCTTCAGTAGAAAGTCCTGGAAAAACAGGCTTAGTATATGGGGGCCAGGGAGTGGATCCTGTGTAACAGCACCTCCAAAGTTAGACTAAAGAATTACATGTGAGGAGGAAACTATGAGGTTACTAAAACAGAGTATATAAGACACTATTGTTAGGATCTAGGGATAGGGGAGGATTTAAAAAAAATTTTTCCACATTTCAAGAATACAACTCTGTGCGTGTGTGTGTGCGTGTGTGTGTATGTGGTGTTGGGGTCTCACACATGCCAGGCAAGAGCTCTACCAATGAGCTACCCCCCCAGCCCAGGAATACAAATTCTAAAGCTGAAGGGAGGGGGAGGTTTGATCACGTGAAAATAAAAGAACATCAAAGACACAGTTAATACAGATAGCAGAATGGGTGATTTCTGCAATTCCCAGGATAGACAAGGACATGTAGACTGTAGAAGGAATTCCTGCATGCCAACCAGAAATAAGCATCAGTGCTAATGGAAAATGCTAACAGGTCATTTACAAAAAAAGATAATTCCAAAAACTAACAAGCACATGAAGAGGTGCTTAACTATTATTAAATGAAAAATGCAGACAGCAATGAGATATTACCGCCACCAACAGTGAACTGGCAACTGCTAGAAAGATGGATAATGTCACCGGAGAGTGCTGCCTATGGGAGGAGGGAACAAGAATGAATAGGGGCAAGAGGAGAAAAGAGAGTCAACTAATCAAATAGTTTTGGTGTCTTCATAGCATTCGTCAGAAACAAAAGCTCTGGGACCAGATTATCCAGGTTCAAATCCTGGCTCCATAGCCTGGTGCGGGTGGCTCAAGCCTGTAACCCTAGCTACTTGTGAGGCTGAGATAAGGGAGAATCGTGGTTCAAGGCCAGGCTGGGCAAATAGTTCCAGAGACCCCATCTCTAAAAATAACCAGAGCAAAATGGACTGAACATGTGGCTCAAGCAATAGATCGCCTGCTTTGTAAGAATGAAGCCCTGAGTTCAGACCCCAGTCCCACCAAAAAATAAACTAAATTTCGACTCCACCATTTACTCGGTCCTAGTTATTATTCTCTGTGGTTCAGTTTCCTATTATAAAGGGGGACAAGAATAGGCTGTTGCCAGACTTAAAAGGATTACAGTGCTGAAGATATGACCCCGTGGTACAGTGCTTGCCTAGCATTTGTGAGGCCCTGAGTTTGATCCCTAGCATCACAAAAATTAAATTAAAAATAAAGGACCTACATAGTGGTACACACCTGAAATCCCAGCATTCCAGATGTTGAGGTAGGAGGATGGAGAGTTTGAGGACAGCCTGGGCTACATAGCAAAACCCTGTGTCAAGACCCCCAAAGTTATATGTAGTGTCCAGCATACAGTAACTCCAGTAACATACTTATTGTTTTAATTTGACTGCTTATGTTTAATGTCTGCCTTCACTCTACATCCAAATGCAAATGAAAAAGCACCAGGCTGCCCATCTTTCCTTGTATTTCTGGCATATAAAACTGACTGGAAGGGCTTCAATAAATATTTGTTGAATGAAGGAATGAAGAAAGGAGGCAAGGAGAGGGCGAAGGTAGGGATGCAGAGGGTGCAGTAGCGTCCCTCTCCCTCTTCAGATCCTTGTCCCAGGCATGGGGAGGAGGGGGAAAGGACAGGGACTCACTCGAAAGAAGTCACAAAACAGGTCTGGGAAGGAGCCCCTGGCACCAGTGTCAGATTCTTTTCCACGGCCCAGCCATTCCCGCCGTGCTCCACCTCCCAGCCTCTGAAGCCCTCTGAAAATACAGCAGGGTTGAAAATAAGACAGGAGCCCGCCAGCTCACCCAGCAAAGCCCCCCCATTTTTACCCCGCCCACCAGATCCTCCCCTGGCATCTTCCGTGTAATCCCGCCTCCCAGCATCCTGTGTCCCTAGCGCCACGCCCATGTCACTCAACCCGTCCGTCCATTCAGTTTTCTCATCAGCCCCATTTGATCCTCCCTTGGTCCCGCCCCTCTTCTCTGTCTCTCAAACTACTGGTAAGGCCCGGTGCTCTTCTATGCAAGCTCCGCCCACCGCCAACATCCAATCGGCTTCACCCACCCTGCTCCCGGTTCCTCCCCCGAAGCCACGCCCACGGAAACAACCGTCCCTGCTTCACGACTGTCGGTCCCGCCCTTTGGCTCCAACTGTTTCGTCCATTGGTTACATTTCTCTTAGGCTCTGCCAACAGTTTACCCTAGCCCCACCCATTTAGACCCCGCCCACCCACTCAGCCTTGCGGGTTCGCATTCCACAGGTCCTTCGCATTCCCTTGGCCCCGCCCCCTCGTTCTGTGGCCCCGCCCCCGGAACCCACGCTCTCCGCAGGAGTTGAAGATAAGGTTGCGGCCCAGCGGCGCGCGCAGACAGTAGCGCGCTAGGGCGCAGAGCGGGAACTCCTCCTCGTCCTCGCCCTCTGGCGGGCAGCGCTGGGCCAAGGCGTAGAACGCGCGTCCCTCGGCGCTGCGGTCGCGGGCCAGTTGCAGCAGCCACACGGTGGGCCCGTCCACCACGTCGCGCCAGGCGCGGCACACCAGGCGGCAGCGCGTCACGAGCGCGCGCGGCGGCACGTGGCTCAGCACCTGCACCAGCAGTTCGGGGGGCAGCGCGTCAAGGGCCACCGGCGGGTCCACCCGCAGCCGCCGCCGCGAGGGCCGGGCGCCCATCTCCCGCCGCCGCCGCCGGAGCCCTGCAGATCGAGAGGGGTCCGCAGGTTAGGTCCCCACCGCGCCCCCCAAAAGTCATCAGGCTCTTGGGCGATCGGAGGGGCTGCCGTGATCGCGGAGGCCACACACCCGGTTCCCGCCGCCTGGTGGGAACAGTGAACCGATTCAAATCCGGCAAAAGTTCCTTCCTTCCGTGGTCTGATCCTGACCTCATCGGAACCGTTAACCTCAGCTTCCACGTGGCACGCAGATGTCAGGCTGAGCACTTTTGTATGACCAGAAGCACACAAGATCCACAAGGGAAACCATCTCTGCCCCTTCCCCCTTGGGTCTTGGAATTCATGAGCGATCAAAAACCTATTTCCTGTTTCTTTGAACTTCTGGCATTTTCTTGCTCTCCTTTTACGCTCATTCCAAGCGAGTAGGTGTCTTTGTTCCTGGAAGCTGCTTCCAGACCATTCTGCCTCCTCCCTCCCCAAACCCCCATCTGCAGACTTCAAGTCATCGGAGTACACGGCTCACTGCCCGCCTTCTAAGTCCTCTGCTGACCCTTCCCCCTCCATAATCCTTAGGTGGATTCACTTCCCTGACCTCACCTTGTCCCCCCCATAACTCCTCCCTCTCCTGGTCCCGAGGCTGGATAGATCAGGGAAAATGAGGCCCGGGAAACAGCAGCCAGGAATTCAGAAATCAACATATTAACGAAAAGTTTGATTAAAGGCCTGAGCACTCATCTCTCTCTTTCCCGCGCTCTCTCTTTTGAACTCAGCAGGTGCCCTACCGCTTGGGCCACACCTCCAGCCCATTTTGTCTTGGTTATTGATTATTATTATTATTTTGGTGGTACTGGAGTTTGAACTCAGGGCCTACACTTTGAGCCACTCCGCCAACCCTTTTCTGTGATGGGTTTTTCAAGATAGGGTCTCGAGAACTGTTTGCCTGGGTTGTCTTGGAACAGCGATCCTCCTGAACTCTGCCTCTTGAGTAGCCTGGATTACAGGTGTGAGCCACGAGCACTCAGCTGCTCTGGTTATTTTGGAGATGGGGGGGTCTCAAGAACTATTTGCCCAGGCTGGCCTTGAACCTGGATCCTCCCTATCCTAGCCTCCCAAGTAGCCAGGATTCTAGGTGTGAGCCACCGGTGCACGGTGCTAGCACACTCAACGCACTTTTTTTTTGCAGTACTGGTGTTTGAACTCAGGGCCTTGAGCCACTCCACCAACCCCTTTTTGTGTTGTTTTTTTTTGTTTTTTTCTCCCCCGAGATAGGGTCTTACGAACTACTTGCCCAGGCTGGCTTCAAACCTCGATCCTCCTGATCTCTGCCTCCTGAGTTGCCGGGATTACAGACGTGGCCACCAGCGCCCGGCTTCAATGCACTTCTTGCTACATTAAGTGCCTGCATCCATGTCTGGGTTGTGTACTAGCTTTTCTTTGTTCTGTTTTACTAATAAACTTTCTTGGTCTCTACCTTAATGTGTCTAAAATTCTTGTTTTGCAACAACTTCGCAAACTTGGTACCTAAGGGCCAGGTGTAGAGGCCTCCACACTATTAAAGACCCCCCCCCAGCCACTCCAGTTAGGTAGCAATCACACCTAGATCTAGTCTCTTCTTCCGAACCTCAATTTCACACCTTTGCCCTCCATCTTTCACAAGGGATTGTGGTTTTTTGTTCTATCCTTTGTCCCTGCCTCATTTTCACTGCTCCCACCTCCTGTCTTCATTGCTTCCTTTGCTAGCTTAAATTCCACATTCTTTGCGCTGGTGGCTCACGCCTGTAATCCTAGCTACTGAGGAAGCAGAGATCAGGAGGATCGAGGTTCAAAGCCACCCCAGGAAAATAGTCCTCAAGACCCTAACTTGAAAAAAAACTCACATGAAGGGTTTGGCAGAGTTGCTCGAGGTGTGAGTTCAAACCCCAGTACTGCAAAAAAAAAAAAAAAAAGAGAAAGAAAAGAAAATTCTTTGCACGCACTTTTTTATTTCCTCCCACACATGATGGTTAAATCCAGCTCTGTCCCATCCTCTTCCCCGCCCCCCCCCCACAGTGTCTACATCCACAGGACTTGAGGTGGATGAAGAACAGCACAACCCCGCTGGCCCATACCATCCACTTCATTCGTGAACTTGACCCAGTCCCAGTGCTGCCTGGCAATGGTGATCATTGCATTTCTCTCTCTCTCTCTCTCTCTCTCTCTCTCTCTCTCTCTCTCTGACAGGATTTAGCTATGTAACCCAGGCTAACCTGGAACTTGCTATGTGACCCAGGCTGGCCTTGAACTTGGAGTCCTCCAACCTCAGCCTGTAGGGTGTTTTGGGTTAGAGGCATGAGCCACCACGCCTGGCTCTTGTTTTCTCTTACACTTTTTCTGATTAGGCTTTGCTTCCCCATCCCCTATACTGAAATGCCAAGGAAGCCATGACTGCCATGAAACTAACCAATGGTTCCCGTCTTGAACTGGTCACCAGCATCTGATGGTCACCCCACCCCACCCCAGTCCTGTCTTCTCCCTGGCAGCTCCTTGCCAGTCTCCTTAGCTGGTCCTCCCTCCTCTCTCTGATCTCATAAACTCAGAGATGGATCTACGAACCTCCTCCCTTCTCTATCAGCCCGCTGTCTGGTCGCACCACCCAAGCCTGTGCCATCACAGCCTCCCTGCTCCAGGCCTCTTTCCTCTGTGGTCGGTTCCTCACGAGCAGTCAGGCTGGGTTCACACCTGAGTCAGGTCCTGCGCTGCTCAGAACCATCCCTAGCTCCGTCTCACTCACAGGGCCCCAAACCATCGGACACTGTCCTCTCTCTGGTCTCATCTCACTCACTCACTCTGCCCTAGCTTTTAAGAGGCGCTCAAACTGCTTTTGCTGAAAAGCACTGACTCCTTAGTTGGGCCCAGAATTAACTAAAAGAAGGAGAAGCTTGGCCTCCCTGCCTCCATTTTGTATGTCTTTGTTCTAAACCATTCTCTCTGCAGTCACTTTACGATCCCCTTGGGCCTCCAGGAATGACAGGACTGATAACATCTCTGACAAGGGACTGAAACTTCACACAAGGAACAGTGAGACTTGCAGGACAGACCACCTCCAAATGAGGACAATTACCTATAATGATGAGGCTGCACCCTGGAGCGGAGGAATCATCTCATGGGAATCAGATGACTCCCTTAAGTGATGCCAGCGATAACATCTTCTCTGGAACCCATCTGGGAACCCTTGGAGTGAGATCATGGTCAACAGACCACTCTGTGACTGTGACTGTATAACTTTGCGTACCTTTGTCCCCTGCCCCAGTTCTTTTGTCTACTTAAGCCTATATCTCATGTCTGTACACTAAAGATGGTTAAAGACGGGCTGAGTGCTTGCTCTGCTCTCCCATGCGTGTCCTGATCCGCGTAATAAATCTTTTCTGTCTTTATTTGGCAGTTAGGGGCAGGTGGCGGGACCTGGCATATGGAATCTGAGGAGTTTGGGCCTTGTACGTTCATAGCCACGTTGGGCTCCACACCTCAGGCCTTTGCATTGGCTATCTACTTGGACCAAGAGTTTTTTCATAGCATACATGAGGCCGCTAGTTTGATCCCTAGTACAGCCAAAAAAAATAACTTCCTGAATTGTGTTTATTTTTGCCAGTACTGGGGCTTGAACTTGGCTTTGAGTTTCTAGGCAAGAGCTCTACTACCTGAACCATGTCTCCAGTCCAAATAGAATCCCCTTGTGTTGCTTTTTTTTAATGATACTAGGATTTGAACTCAGGGCCTTGTGCCTGTTAGGCAAACACTTTACCACCTGAGCCACACCCCAGCACTCTCCCACAAATAAAGGATTAAAAAAAAAAAAAATCGAAAAAACTTGACTGACTAGTTAGCTCAAGGCCCAGTAAGAAACTCACCCCACCATCTTCTCTTAGGCAGAACTTTCTAGAGAGAAAAGCTCAGGGCTTTTCCACTCAGCCTGCCTGGTCCAAGTCCCACCTACGTTCCTTGCTGGCTACATGTCTAAGGCAAGTCACTGAATCTCTTTGTGCCTCATTTTCTCTTCTGGAAATGGGCATATTCACGGTGCCCACTTCTTAGGATTGCTTCAAGGATGAGATGAGATGATATTTGTAAAGCATTTAAGAAAAGCACTTGCAGCCAGACACCGGTGGTTCATGCCTGTAATCTTAGCTACTCAGGAGGTAGAGATCAGGAGGATCAAGGTTCGAAGCCAGCCTAGGCAAATAGCTCACAAGACCCTATCTCGAAAAAAAAAAAAAAATCGCAAGAAAAGGGCTGGTGGAGTGGCTCAAGTGGTAAGACCACCTGCCTAGCAAGCGTGAGGCCCTGAGTTCAAACCCCAGTACTGAAAAAAAAAATCTAGAACCCAAAAGTTTCACAACTTAGATTGTGGTCAACAACTCAGCACCACATTTCTTAAATGAACATAGAGTTCACCTCTGTATCCACAGGTTTCATGTGGTCAAATTCAACAAACCATGAATGGAAAATATTTGACCAAAAAATGCTTTCTAAACACACAGACCTTTGCTGAGTTTGAAACTGTAACGCTAAGTTCTCTTGTTGTTCACCACAAAGTTCTCTTGAAACCCCTTGGGGACTGGTCCCACATACCCAACGGATACCAAAATCCAGGCTTGCCTTATACAAAAAAAAAAAGTCACTTTTCTCCCCCAGTACTGGAATTTGAACTCAGGACCTTGCAATTGCTAGGCAGGTACTCTACCACTTGAGCCACACCAGTCCTTTTTGCTTTAGGTATTTATCATATAAGGTCTGGCTTTACTTCAGGGTAAGCCTGGATATCAATCTCCCTATCTATGCCTCCTGTAAAGCTGAGATTACAGATGCATACCACCATGCCCTAGTTTTATTAGTTGAGATGAAGTCTCAAGAACTGTTTGCCCAGGCTTGTGTGGAAGCTCAATCTTCTCAATGTCTGCCTCCACACTAGCTAGGATTACAGATGTGAGCCACCATGACCAGCGTAAGTCACTCTTTATAGTGACTCAAGGAAAATACCATTCTGTTTGTTAGTAGGTTTGTTTGTTCAAAGTATACATTTTTTGTGTGTGTGGTGCTGGGGCTGGAACCCACAAATGCTAGGCAAGTGCTCTACCACTGAGCTACACCCCAGCCCTTTATAATTTTTTATTTTGATACAGGATTTTGCTAAGTTTTCCAGGCTGACCTGGAACTTGAAACCTTCTTACCTTTGCCTCTTGATTTCATCACTATGGCCAGCTCAGAGTATACTTTTTGCCAGAGTAAACTTATTGTTTTTTCTTTGTCTATGTTCTTTCTTTTTGCAGTGCCGGGGTTTGAACTCAGGGCCTTGTGCTTGCTGGACGGATGCTCTACCACTTGAACCACATTCTCTGTCTTCATTGCATTGGTGAGTTTTGAGATCAGGTCTCATGTTATGCCCAGGCCAGCCGGGACCACGATCCTCTCATTTGTGCTTTCTGCTATACCGGGAGGACAGGTGCATACCACCTTGCCCAGACATTGGTTGAGATGAGGGTCTCTCGAACTTTTTGCTGGGGCTGGCCTTGAATCCTGATCCTCTCGATCTCAGCCTCTGGAGTAGCTGGGATTACAGACATGATCCTCAGTTTTCTTTTCTTTCTTTCTTTTTTTTTTTTTGGCAGTACTAGGGTTTGAACTCATGGCCTCACACTTGCTAGGCAGGTGCTCTACCACTTAAGCCATGCCCCCAGCCATTTTTTGTGATTTTTTTTTTTTTTTCTGAGATAGGGTCTCTGGAACTATTTGGCCAGGGCTGTGTTTAAACTGCGATGCTCCTGATCTCTGCCCCCTGAGTAGCTAGGATTACAGGCATGAGCCACTGGCACCTGGCTGATCCTCAGTTTTCTTGCCTTGTGCCTTACAGGATTGCTGTGAGTACTGATGGACTGACACTTAGCCTAACTAGTAAGTTTGGGCCTTTGGGATGAAGATTTGGTCACATGAACAAATGAAGCCAAAGTGAGTTTTCTCTGTGGAGTTGCTGTGGGGAGGGAGAGAAGGAGTGGGCACAGCATACCTCATAGCCCCCCAAACTCAGCCAGTGACCCTGGGCATTTGTGTCAAACTCAACCTCTCAGGGAGAAGGAGGCAATCAAGTCAGTGCCAAAGAGCACTCTCAACGACACCCCAACACTTGGGGGAGAGAGCTGAATCACAGCCGTGAAAGCTGGGTTGTCTCAGTGGTGGGCTTTGGGGTTCATTCCTGCTGGATGTGTAAGCACACAGATGTGTTTATCTTTTCACATGAGCCTCTATGTTTTCCAGAATGGGCACCACTCAAAAAAAATTGGTTTTACTCATGTATATTTTACATCCAATAAAATGTGCACAGTTTGAGTTTTCACAGCTGTGTGTAACTGTGTAACCATTACCACACTCAAGATGTGGACCAAGCCAGCCCAGGTAGCACAAACCCATAATCCTAGCTACTCGGGAGGCAGAGATCAGGAGGATCACGGTTCGAAGCCAGCCTGGGCAAATAGTTTGCAAAACCCTATCTCAAAGAACCCAACACATGGCGCTGGTGGAGTGGCTTAAGCAGTAAGAGCGCCTGCCTAGCAAGTGGAAGGTCCTGAGTTCAAATACCAGTGCTGCCAAAAAGAAAGAAAGAAAGAAAACACCCAACACAAAAAAAAGGGCTAGTGGAGTGGCTCAAGCGGTAGAGCACCTGCCTAGCAAGTGTGAGGTTCTGGGTTCAAACCCCACTACTACCAAGAAAAAAAAAAAAGGTGTGGAACATTTCATTTCCATCAGTCCAAAATGTTTGTCCCTTCCTGTTCAGATCCCCACTGCCGTCGCAAGGCAGCCACCAATCTGCTTTCTGCCACAGTAAACTCAACTTTTTAAAAAATAAAAAGACAGGGTGGTAAGGGAGGGGGTGGGGGCAGGGGGGAGAAATGAACCAAGCCTTGTATGCACATATGAATAATAAAAGAAAAATGAAAAAAAAATTAAAAAAATTAAAAAGACAGGGTTTATGTAGCCCAGTTGTCCTATAGCTCACGATCCTCTATGCCTCAGCCTCCCGAGTGCTGCGATTACAAACGTGAACCCCGACGCCGGCTCTAAATTTAAAGCTTTTCTAGAGACCCATGGAAATGGAATCACAGAGTTGTACCAGTCATCATCAATTTACTGCTTGGTTGTTCCAAACCAGGAAACTGGAGCTTGGCCCTTTAAATCTTTTTTCTTCGCTGCTGGCCACGATGCGACGTGGTTTCGGTAGAGGGCGCTGGAGAGGCGCCGGAGGAGGCGGAGGTCCGCACTTGGCTTAGCTGCAAGGGGCGTGGCTTCGCGGGAGGGGCGGGCCCGGGCCGCACCAGCTGCCACTGCCTCCTGCAGTGAATGTCAGCCCCCAGCCCCTGCACAACTGTGACACTTCCCTGGCCTCCAAAGAGGGCAGATTTCTGGCAGATTCCATCACAGGTGCGCAAGGAGTAGGTCTCAGCCCCGAGGCATCCATCTCCCTCCCTCTCCCTCTCTCTCCCTCTCTCCCTCTCTCTCTCCCTCCCTCCTCTCTCTCTCTCTCTCTCTCTCTCTCTCTCTCTCTCTCTCTCTCTCTCTCTCTCTCTCGACAGGGTCATCTGTTATTCTGTATTTTTTGTGCTGTCTTTATTTCTTAGTCGCCAATCCCTGTACTCTAACCCCCGTTACAGTTAATAATTCCGTATGTTAAATATTCTCAATTCAAATGATCTGTGTCCCAGTCTCCCCTTGGACTCTGACCCATGTGTGCCTCCTGTCTCTTGCTTCCTTCCTTCAGTATGAAGTCTGTGTCATTCATCCACATCGCAGGGTGTCTCCATCAGTAGTTCATTCCTTTTTAATAACTGAGTAGTACTCCACGGAACAGTTAAGTCACATGCGTTTATCCCCTCACCATGATGGTCACCTGGGTTGTTTCCAGTTTAAGTCTATTATGAATAAAACTGCTACGGTGGTTCCAGTACAACTGTCTGTGTGGACCCATGTTTGCATTTCTGAAGAGTAAAAACTTCGGAGTGGAAGTCTTGGGTCAAGGGCAACTGTTTACTTAGCTTTACAGGAAGGAGAGTGCCCACCATTTTCCAGCACAACGGCTCATTTCCATTCCCAAAAGCAGGGCAAGAGAAGCACAGGTGCCAGGGTGAGGCTTGCCCGGCTTTTAATGATTTTACACAGAATGTGTTCCTTGTTTTTTGTTTGTTTTGTTTTTTGTAGTACAGGTGTTTGAACTCAGGACCTTCACCTGGAGCCACTCCACCAGCCCTATTTTTGTGATGGGTTTTTTTGAGATAGGGTCTCAAGAACTATTTGCCCAGGCTGGCTTTGAACCTCAATCCTCTTGATCTCTGCCTCCCAAGTAGCTAGGATTACAGCTGTGAGCCACTGACACCTGGCTGGTTTCCTTGTTTTTGTTTTTTTTGTTTTTGAGACAGGGTCTTGCTACTTAGGCTCAGCTGGCTCAACTCCCAATCCTTCTACTCAGTCTCCAAGGGCTGGGATTACAGTTTGTACCACCATGCCCTGCTCAATTCTTACTTTTTTTTACAGGTAGAGTGGGAACGCAGTCCCCCACCACCACAAATTATGCAGTTGAGGTCCCCACATTTGGGGAAATCACAGGGGACAGCACATCCAGAGTGCAATGGATCCACCCTGCTGGGGAAAACCACCTTCGTGATCATGATATCTCTCCTGCCAGGTAAGTGTTCAACTGTTACTCTTGAACTATAGTGTCGGTGTTGTTTCTAACCTTCAGCAAATAGTTGTAACAAAAATTATCAAGAGTCATGAATTAGAGTCTCTGCTCTTTGAATTATTTTTATTATTATTTTGTTGGTACTGGGGTTTGAACTTGGGGTCTTGCTCTTGCCGGCAGGCACTTTATCACTTGAGCCACTTCACCAGCCCTTTTTTTGTGATTTTTTTTTGGAAATAGTGTCTCGAGAACTAGTTGCCCAGACTGGCCTCAAATTGTCATCGTCCTGATCTCTACGTCCCGAGTAGCTAGGATTACAGCATGAGCCACTGGTGCCCTGCTGCTCTTTGAATTATTTATGTGTTCAGAGATTTGGCATGGCTTCTCCTCCAAGAGGACAAACTGAGCTATTGAATTGGGCTGTCTGTCGGCCAGTATAAGAGCCTGCAAATAGATGTATGTGTTGTGCTACAATCAAAACTAGGGCCTTGTTGGTGGAGCAGCTCAAGTGGTAGAGCGTGTGCCTAACAAGCATGAGGCCCTGAGGTCAAACCCCAGTACTGGAAAAAACAAAAACAAAAACAAAACCAACCCAGGGCCTTGAGTGTGCTAGGCAGCACCCTCCCACTCAGCTACATCCCCAGTCTTTTATTAAGCACCCCCTTGAGTGAGGTATGGTGGTGCACACATCACACCTATAATCCCCACACACAGGCAGTCAGGAGGCTAAGGCAGGAGGATTGTGAATTTTAGGCCACCTTGGGCTCCATAGTGAGACTCTGTCTCAAGGGAAAAAAAAGAAAGAAAAGGAAGGCAAGAAGGAAGGGTGGAAGGAAAGAAGGAAGGAAGGAGGGAAAAAAAGATACCCTATCTACAGCAAGATATTAAAAAGCACAACAAAGGAAGAATATCAATTCTGAAAGATGGAAAACAGACAGCAGTGTAGGGGAGGGACAAAAATCAAGATGGAGGCAAAAGTGTGTTAAGGATCTCCCCCCAGAGCCAGGGCCAGGGGAATGCAGGCTGGGGTGAGAGGGCAGAGCAAGGGCAGGGCGACTCCATTTTTAAAACTCTGCCAGTTGGCTCTGGGTCCTATCTCGTACCTCCCTCATGCTCGACACCCCCATAGGAGAAACACGACCCTGTGGGTCCCGGCCCCATGCCTTGTGCTGAGCACCTGGAAATGAGGTCCCTGCAGGATGGAGACTCCATGCTCACACAAACAAGGGCACCCACACAACAGTGTTCTCAGTCATCGGTGAACTTGAGCAAGAGGCAGGTGGGGAGAAAATGACTCTACAACAGCTCAGAGCCACACACAACACAACACAAACTGAGAGGCTGAGATCAGGAGGATCAGGGTTCTAGGCCAGGCTGGGAAAGTAGTCACACTGGAGGTGTCGCTCAAGTGGTAGAGCCTGCTTTGCAAGCATGAAGTTCTGCAGTCAAACCCCAGTCCCACTGAAAGAAAATCCCAGAGATGGTTGCCCAGCCTCTGGTTTGAAAGTGCAATGCAGGAGGTGTGGCTCAAGCAGTAGAGCGCCTGCTTTGCAAGCATAAGATCTCGAGTTCAAATCCCACTGCCACAAAAAAGAAAAAACAGAAGAATTTAATGAAAGTACCATGGGTCAGCAGGGCTCCAGATGTTTTCACCTGAGCAGCTGGAGTGCAAGACATGAAGCAAGGGGGACAAAAGTGAACTGACCCCAAAGGAAACTGAGACAATTCAGGGGGACCAAAAGAATGAAAGGGATAAGAATGTCACGCTCTGGGCTGCTCTCATGGGCCCCATGCTCTGCTGTTGCCATCTTGAATTTTCTGGGGCGAGGGGGAGGAGGATGGGGATGGAAACAAGGGCCTTTTACA